GAGTGTAATCAAAGGCCACACAGAATCAAACAGAAAAACAAATGGGGGCCCTACCGAACGCGCTCCCAAAACTTCTGGTCCGCCGGACCATCCCCGTGGGTACCTCGAGCCGAAGGCCGGGGCACCGAAGGAGCCGTAGGAAGCGCAGCAAGCGAAACATGCGCCGCACACGGCTGGCACGCAGAACGTGGGTAGGCCCCTCATCGAGGTGGGGAAAGATCAGGATGATCAAGTCAGGCAGCAACATCACCCTGGGCGGATCTCAACCGTTCTTCACCAAAGGAATTGGGTCAGGACTTTCGGGGACTCTGCAAGCGGGTAGCGCGCCTTTTCCAGCCTAAAAGGGGCTTCAGTAAGCGGTCATGAAATGCTATACATGTTGCATATAAAGCCTTGCGCCCCACTTAAAAGCGGTCAGGTGCTGCTAGCTTTTACAAGGCTTCGCTTGCATATGGGATGGAAGGAAAACCGATCTCAGGACAGCACTTGCAGCTCCTAAGCTGTACATAGGGCCGTGTCCTCTGATGCAAGCGCGGACATGTTGAGTCCGTATGAAAGACATCCCTGCCTTCCAGCAGGTACACTTCCGAAAAGCGTCCAGTGTTCCTCTCGCACTGGATGGCCACATCTTTGCTCTCGGGCCGCGCCGGCTTGAAGCTCAAGCCCCCACTCAAGGCAAGGTGCCTTCCCACCATGCGGAAGCACCACCACAATGCCGTGCCCTGCATGATCAGCAAAATGCCGAAGGCCACAGCAAGGTCCGTGAAGATCCAATCGAACCCCCACTTCGATCCTTCTGTATTGGGCTCCTCAGTCTTCATTCCCTCAGCGCTTTGCAAGAGGGTCAGCATGGCCATGACTAGAGCCTGCTTGCTGAACCCACTGAGGGCAATGGCGTTGATGCTCTCAACATGCTTCTTGCGCTCCTGCTCGTAGGCTGTCTCCTCCTTCAGCCCGATGCCCAGCTTCAACCTCAGCACATTGAACCTCTTCACTGCCAAGGCCTTGGTGCCAAAGTCTGCCGTGTTGTCTTGGCTTGGCACAGCATGCAAGCTGAACAGCTTTCGATGCAAAGCGTCTTGCACCCACAATGACTTCACTTCTAGGCGCCGGATCCTTCCAACTCCCTGGCGCTGGAACACGCCACGAGCTGCGCTGCTGTCAAGGTAGACCTCCATCTGGAGCGGGAAGCCAATGAAGGCAAACACTTCCTTCATGAACAATCCCTCACTGCAGGCAGCCACGCCACCATTGAACTCAGCTTCACCAGACGACAGGCAAAGCATCTGGAGGCTCCTGGCGTAGCTGAACAGCAAACAGCCACCAACCTCGAACATTGCACAGGCACAGCTATGCACCTTCAGGATCTCGATCTCGCCATTCTTGGGCAGCCACACGCCATAGTCCTTTGTGCCTTGCAGGTAGCGTGCCAAACGATGCAGCTTGTGTAGGCTTCCATCCGTAGGCTCCTTCATGTCTTTGGTCAGCTCACGGACTGCGAACTGCACATCCGTCCTGTCGTAGGAGAGGTACATGCAGAGCAATGCCAACTCCTGCCCTGTAGATTCTCAAGCTCTCCCCACTCAACTTGTTGCCCTCCTTGACCTCTGAGCACAGGCAGGGCGCCGGAGCCGGACCACACCCTTCCAAACCCAACATCTTCAACAGATCACTGATGTACTTCCCACGGGGCGTCAGGAAGGTGCCGCCGTCCATGACCTCACGGGCCCTTTTGAGGTGCGTCCACTTTTCTCCCACGCAGTTCTCATGAATCTGACTCTTCATCTTGATCTTCTCATGCAGCTTCTTCTCCAACTCCAGCAAAGCTGCTTTCGGTCCGGTGGCATAGAAGTCGTCCATGTGCACTTCCATCAACACTCCACTGGCCGGGTTGTAGAACATCCAGGGCGCGGCTGGGTTCCTCTTGAAGTCAATCTCCTTGAGATGCCCAGCTGCCCATTCCACAAAGGCCTGGCCAGCAATGCGCCTGCCATACCACTCAGTATTGAGCTTCCAGACCACACGATCAGGTAGATCGACTCCGCTGTCTGCCATCTTCTTCAACCACTCCTTGGGAGGCTTCATGTAGGCTTCTTCTGCAATTGGCACCTGCCAGAATGCATTCTCTGCATCAGCTGTCAAGAAGCTGTAGCCCATCTTGATGCCCACAATGTCAATGACCCTTGACGTTGAGGTACTGGATGCCACCGCAAACACGTCCGTGCGCGGGTCTCCCCGCTTGAACTCTCTCACACAGTACCTGCACCTCACGGAGCCATCTGGCTTCCGGGTCCTGACCCAGACGGCATCCAAAATCTTCATGCCATCCTTCTGCTCCACAGGGTCATAGGTCTGGTACTTGTCCATCTTGCGGAATTCTTCTGCATCTCCTTCATCCATCTCCTCTTTGCTCAAAGGCTTGCTCTCCTCGTTGTCCGAGTCCTCATAGGCCTGGTCCACGTCATCCTCGCACACAATGGTGTCTTCCGTTGGCGAATACAGTGCACCCACAAAGATTCCAGCCACGCGAGCTCTCTTGGCCTCTGGAGTCATCTCGCCAGACTCTCCTGCCCATGCCCGTCTTGCAGACATGCCCAAATCCATAGGTGCTGCCTCATCACCGCCCACATCAGCCGTAGGTCTTGATGCCGACGAAGGACCTGATTGCACAGGAAAGTCTCCCTCGTCCTCCTCTTGGATGACCTCCCCACTTGGCTCCAGCCTGGGGCTCTTCTTGGCCGTCTCTTCGGTCGGGATCAGGTTCGGTGTCTGAGGCAAGGCAATGTCAGCCTTCCTCTTTGGCCTGCCGATGGTTGTGCCCATGTCCCATGGCACTCCGATCATCTTCTCCATCAGCTCCCTGTTGTAGCGCCTGCTGCTGTCAGCTAGTCTGCGCACACTCCTGGCCGTCACTGTCCCTTCCTCTGTTCCCAGTAGGTATTCATTACTGGTCACACTTCTCCCAAGGAAGATACCCTGACGCCATGCCGTCTCCCCTTTGGGCACCACTGCCCTGTTGTGGGATCTCCTGGCCTTACTCATGGGGATCTTGAAGAGCACCGTCTCACCGAAGGGCACCAGCTGCGAGGTGTATGCCGTGTCGAAGGCATCTTGATATGCTGTCCTTTGGTTGCCCTTGACGCTGAATCTGCTCCTGATGAATGAGCACCACCTCACCAGCCATGGCCATAGGTTGTGTGAGGTGTGGAGCGTAATGCCATAGCTTGCTTCTGTCTGGTACCTGAGGGTGAGGACGTCACCACGGAGCAACTTCTGGAATGCTCCCATGGTTCCAAGGCTCTGAGATGAGTACCTTGGCACTTCTTCGAATTGGACCTTGAGTCCCTCAGCTCCTGGAGCTTTCCCTTCTCGCAAGGCACCAGCTATCTTGGCAACAATCTTCTTGATCACAGGCTCATTGTCACTTCGGAGCTTCACCTGCATGTAGCCCAACTGTGCTATGAAGGATGTCACCGTCTTGATCACATAGGGCGTCTCCAGGTTCTTGCCAGGATGGACATTGCTAGGGCCATCCCGGTGCCACTGTCCACGATGGAGAGGATTGTATCTGAGCTCTCCTCAAACCGCTCTGCAATGGATGTGTCTGTCTTGAGGAAACTGTAGTCCAGCTCGAAGTGGTTCTCGGCCAGCTTCTGCTCCATTGTCCTGCGTCGATGAGGATCATCCATTGCATGGCCTCTGGTGCAAAACTCACACCAAGGTGCTGGCGGCAGATGTGTGATCAGGTGCCGCTCCACTTCCTCCGTGTCCGGCTTCTGGGGTACTGGCACATAGGAAACATCAGGTTCCCTCCTCACGCAAGGCTTGCTGTCGGGCAGTGTTTCTCTCAACGTAGTCGCGTGCCCGTGCCCTCCTGATCGACAAGGCTCTCTCTGTGGGCTCCTTGAGCTCTCGAAGTCTGGCTCTCATATCCTCCACCTTGCTCCATCCATGTAGTCGTGGACGATCAGCTCGAGCATGGGCCTCATCTTCTGCAAATTCAGGTGGGATGGGGACCGTCTCAATCCCTTCACCCTCATCTTCAATGCCTGCATACTCCCACTCATATTCTTCTCCTTGACCTGCCACAGGTGCCACCACACCAGTGCTCACCTCGATGTCCATGGGGATCGTCTCATCATCCCGCACCTTGACATAGTAGGAGTTGCAGTGAAGGTACAGAGGAATCTTGAAGTCCAGCTGGGGGTGTGTGAGGAAAGGCTTCATGGGGCTCCTCATGTCTGGTGCAAAGCCATTCCTGCTCATCTTCCCAGCACTCAGGACATCCTTACTGGCCTGCTCGCTGACCTTGAACTCAGTGACTGCATTCAGGAACTTGTTGTCCTCGCCGATGATCTTGTAGTTCACCTTCTTCTTGCCAAGTCGTCCAAGGCACTGTCCTGAAATGCCCATCAGTTTCACCTCACTCTCCTCGGTGTGGCAGTTGCCGCCAAAGCTTGGCCGACACAGATGCTCATCACTGCCTGAATCCCACAGGAGGTACTTGATCTTCTTGTCAGGCGACTGGGATGCCAGCAAATGCCAGTCCGATGGCTGCTTGCTTCGGTGAATCATCATCACCCACATCTCATCTGAGTACTCGTCCTCGATGTCGAACACATCTTCAGCATCTGCCCAGTCCACACGCTCTCCATCACCAGGCAGCCAGTAGTACACTGCATTTGTGCTCTGTCCACCAACAGGGGACGCAGATCCAGTTGCCGTGGACGATGTCGCTGTGATGGCATTGGTGCTGCCACATTTTCCTTTTCCTTCACTCTTGGCCTTCTCGGAGGAGGTGGCTTTCCCTTCTTGTCGAACTTGCCACCCTTGTTGACTCCCTTCTCACTCTTCGACTTGCCACCTTTCTTGCCCTTGTCAATGGACACTGCACCAACATCCATGGGTGCTGCTCCACCATCGTCCTTGCCCAACTCGCCCTTGGCGTTGTAGTATTGCCCTGCTTGAAGGAAATCTCGCACGAACTTCTTGGCTCGCTCATAGTTCGTCCCAACTTGAGCTCCAGCAGTCCTCAGGGCTGACCTCAATGACATAGGCGCATGCTTCATGAGGACTGCAATCTTTGTGGAGTCCGAGACATGCTCCTTGGCCTGGATCTCATAGCACCTCGTCAGCACTTCCCAACTCTCCAGGGATTCCAGGAAGTCGTTCTCCTTGACGGTCTCCCAGGCTGGGGCGATGATGCTCATCAGCATGGCTGTATGCCTTCCTCCAACATCAGGCTCATAGGCCTCACAGAGGGCTTTCCAAGCCTGGAAGCCATTTCCATTCTCCACATTCATCAACACCTGTAGGGCTCTGCCATCAACGCTCTGGGTGAGGAGGTTGAACAGGATGATGGCCTTTTCCTGGGCGTGCTGCAACATATCACTCAGGATCAGGTCGCTGTACCGGTTGGCATTCTCTGCAGCTTGGATGAGGGCCTGATAGCTCGTGTCCAGCAAGTTGAGGTACCCTCTTGCCACAAAGACCCAAGCTGCCCATTCTTCTTCTTTGCCTGAGAAGCTTTTCAACTTGCCAATGGCTCGGGTGTCGATGAGACCGCTGCCGCCGACCTGCTGAGCTGGAAGGGCTGGCTGAGCTTGCTGCTGCTGAGCTTGTTGAGGTAGAAGACCTGCTTCAGCTGCCGCTGCCAGGGAATCTCCGAGCGAGAAAGCACCTGGCGGGGTGAGCGGCGCAGCGTTCGAAGCCATGGGCGCTGCTTGACACCTCCACTCGGGGAGGAATTACACCGTGCCCACACCGCAATGCGGATTTACAGGGTGTCCTCCACGCAGGCGCCCACGCGCGGGTCTTACCCTGTCTAACAGGGGACCCGGAGCAGGAGCTCACCCTGCTCCGCTACCATGCAAGCGGGTAGCGCGCCTTTTCCAGCCTAAAAGGGGCTTCAGTAAGCGGTCATGAAATGCTATACATGTTGCATATAAAGCCTTGCAGACTCCCTTCTCTCATGACCTCTTTTTGACCGAGCACTCAATACCAGCATAGGGCCTACCCACATTGCCTTTTGGGGAACACGATGCTGGTGGTTTCCGTAATGGATTGAATTGGTTAAAGACCAACAATACTGCTCGAACGACAAACGGTGCCCAAGCTTTTCCTACTGACCCTACTGACATCCGACAAAGAAGTTTCCGAGTTGAAGGGATCTGCTCCTGCGGGCAGATCCCTTGGAATGTTTGCACATATTCTTGACATGGAGTGTTAGGGTTCTACGTTTTGCTCTGGAAACGCGATTGGCCTTGGTGACCAAACAGTGCCTTTTCATCTTTGAATCAGGCCATCAACTCGTAACCAGTTGCTTCGCCAAGGTGCAAATCAAAACAAAGCCAGGACTTGGCGTAAGCCTTGGCAATGTCCTTCACGTGAAAACGCAAATGGTCGTTGATGTAGACGGCCGTCAGGAAAGTTGCCGGAATGTCTAGCAACCAAAAGATCGTCATCGCCCAATGCCCCACATCTGCATAGTAGCGGATGTCGTTCTCCAGGCGATAGAGATGCAACGGCGTAACGCAAAGCTCATAAAAGACTGCGAGCAACGCAATGCAATCCCATACAAACCGTTGCTTGGAAGATGGACTCATAATGAACCATGGCCCAGGCTCCTTCACTCTCACCAAGTATTGCCTTCTGATGTTGGGTTTTTGCAAGCTGGCAAGGCTAGAAGCAGACATTCTCCTCTGAATCCGCTTCCTGAGTGGCTCGACGTTCTTGCGCATCGGTGTTTGGCTTCCCTCATCAAAACTCCAACACACTACCATGGCCGTAGAAAGATACGGACAAGTCTGAGCTTGCCTAATTAAACAGTCTTTGGGATTTGAGTGTGACAAGGATTTATCTGTATATATATATATATCTCTACGTCTACATCTCTACCCAGTAAACCATAAGTGTGCATTGTTTTAGTCATAAAAAAACAAAGTTTTGTGAATAAATAACACTTTCTCAACTTCACAGATCCCAACATACACTTGTTGGTATTTCATAACATTCCAAACATGTTACATGAGAAACCGGATCCAAAGGGTTCCCAGCCACCGGGCTCAAAAGAAATACCAAAAAACAAGAGCAGACATACCCGTCCAAAAGGCGGAAATACCCGCCTAAAAATATGGCCCAAGTTTGTCAGGTTTGAAGGGTCAATTTGAAGTGGATCTGTGTCCACTGAAATGGGCCAGGAAGACACGATAGCACTTTTCACTCCCGATTACACTTTTGCTTGAAAGCATACGTTTTTTGCTTCCAAATCAGCCGATGACAAAAAAAGGGCAAGGTTGGGTTTTCAAGGTATGTATATAATATATAGTGTTTTTCGTCTCTTTCCAGCCCACATTGGCCCACGTGTTCGTCCAACGGGAGAGACCGCTACCGCTTGTTCTTCCTCCGGGTGTCAGGTCGAAGAGCTTCTCTTCCGAGAGATCCCACTCCTCGCGCAGCTGCAAGGAACCTGGGCGACACCAGCTGACAGAGTCCAAGGTCGGAGCCCGGCAGGGAGTTCTCTTGAACTGCATATATATATAGACTATATATATATGGGGTGCAGTGTCAACAGTCAAGATTCTACATATGCACATAAATGCAGATACAATATAATATAGTTTATTTCATAGTATATATAAGTACATTACTATGTTACTATGTACATTGTATGGGTTGATAAGTTCAGTTCTTTTGATTCTTCCTGGTCTTCTCTGTTTCTTGACTTCTTTCACTGCACCAAGGACGCACCAAAACAATGGCTGGCTGCTCCACCCTCCGTCTCCGAAACGAAGGCACAGGAATCCATGGAGTTCGCGTCGATTTGCCACTCCATTTCCACCACCGTTTGTTCTCAGTCGCCAGCTCCGTGGGAAACGAGGTGCTGAATTGGAGGTGCTATGTAGTTCCGATGGGAAATCAAACAGGGCGGGTCCAAAGGGACAGCAGTTGCTGAGGCACGTGACTGGATGGTTTGACATGTGTAGACTTTCAGTGGGTGCTTGGATGCATGGCTCGCGGCTGATCAACATATAAACCCATGGAAGCAGCAAAGTCCGAATAATGAGGCTTGTGATGGCTTCGATTTTCAGAATGATTGATTTCAATGAATGGGGGAGTTTGCCGTTTGTTGGATGCCCAGCTCCGGATGCATTCCGGAGAGTGGCTGTGTGGCTTGACGAAGTGTTTGGCACCGTGCCATTACAGCCAGGCAGCTCGCTTCCTTCATTAGCTTGCTCGAAACCTTCCTTGGGTGGCAGCATCTTCCTAGCCAAAAGAGTCGAACCTCAAATCATGATTCATGTTTGATGCAACGAGCCAGTGGCCCTGATTCAGTCTGAGTAGCAGTATTCTTCACAGCTCGTACTTGCCTAGGGCCTAGAACATCTAAAGCACTGCTCTCAATCTACCTTCTCATTAGATTCCTACAGTGGATGCTATGTGCCGAGGCGCGTGGATATTGGTCGAACCTGCTCTGAAGGCGTCTCGCCCTCACGATCCACAAGCAAGAGGCTGGCCTCAGTGGGAGATGAGGTCGAAGCCTGAAGAAACCAAGGTGGAAGCGTCTGCATTGGCTGGGCCTCTGCTTGGATACCATTGGTGAACACTTGCGATATTTGCAATCACAGTTTAAGCTGGGTAATGAGTCACCCATATCACAACATCCTTCCCGGAACCCAACAAGACGTTCAAGCAAGAAAGACGAAAGGACAAAGAAAACAATATGCCTTTGTTTTGCTAACATGTTTTATTTCAGCCCTCCCTCTGCACAAAAGAAGACCCTTTGCCCTTTGCCCAGCTGTCGGTGTGCCAGGCCGCACCTTCTAAGCCATTTGGAGGGTCAAAGGTTCTTCACTGTAGAGCTGTATCAAATTGTGGTTGGGCAGTTCCAACTCCAACAAGCTAATTCAATATAAGTCTAGTGCATCTGTGCTTTTGGGCTTCTATATGCAAGTTCGGCCATAAGTATCGGTGTTGAAAACTCCTACTTACAGTTTGCATTTGTTTTAAAATTGCATTAGCGCCAGCACTGTTCACTGCTAAAATAACCCCGAGGTATCTTTTGAGTGAGTATTTTTGTCAAAATCCCTTGCTGTATTCCTGTTTGTCTGATGGACACTTTAGGGAAGAAAATCAAACAACCTACGGTATACAATGTTCTTGTAAGGGGGAAGGAACACCCTTCGATTTGGAAGTCCTTCTCAATTTTGGGCACGAGCTTCAATTAAAAAACAAACATTATCCTAGGCGACAAACATAGGCTTTGAAGCTCTTACCAGGCTACCACCTTCCGTGTTCCCTATGTTACCTGCAGGACCCCAAACTTCGAACAACTCGACCGGACTTTCTTGTGGAACGGGGGAGGGCAGTGTTGGTCGGGTCTTCCTTCGAGTGGCTCGGCTACTCGTCGCTCGTGCCTTCGGCGAGGCCGGCTCGGGCGGGCGCGAGACTGGCTCGGAGCTCTGTGGTACCATGCCCCGATCGGGGGGAGTCGGAGCGGCCATCGTCTCCACCTAGTGGAAGGTCATGCACGAAAGCGTCTGGTGAAGGGGGAATCTTTGGAACGAAAAATTGAAGAATGTGCGCGGGCATGATAGGATCAAGCAAGAAACAAACCTTCGTACGGGGTCCCTTGAGTGTTTTTGATGTGAAACAATAGCGCTCGAGGAAACCCACTTCAACCCCCTTAGGAAGAATATTGATTCTGGGGATAGGTTGCTAATGATTCTGACCCTCATCCACGCTCAAAATTGCTGGAAATCTGCAAACAAGTCTATGAACCCCCCAACGACAAAGTGATAATAATATGAAACTAATCTTCTCTCATCGTTTATCCTTCGATACTGCCTGTTGTCTTCTGTTTCCTTCGCGCATCCATGAATAATGTATATATATATACATATAAATATGTATTTATACATACATAGTTATAAAAAATGTTTCCTGAAGAAGCTGACGTAACAACCCCAGGCAAGAAATGCTTCCAACACGTTCCAACAAAATTACTCCAGAACAATGATTCCACCCTATGACATACCCCCCCTGGAATCATCTTTTAGTGCAACAGCCATGTGAAAAATGCACGGCCTCGTGCGCGTCTCGGAGCTTCTGAAGAAGCAGCTGCATCTCATCGAAAATGTCGGAGAAACACGGCCATGTCCGAAGGCTCTCTTGCCCTTCCTTGGTGTGCAGTCGGAATATCGGAGATATGTTCATATTATTTTCACTTCTGGTCCACATCACAGCATGTTCACTGTTGAGCGTGGCATTGTTTGGGAACATCTGACTGTCGGTCAAACCCATCAAAGCTCCCGAGCGACTTGTGGTGTGTGAGGGGCTGGCCAGGGTGGGATGAAATTATACAAATCAAAGCCATCATACATACTCATGATTCATGATATTTCATTTCGCTCCCATCTACTCAACTATTCTGACAAGACTACTCCTGGTCTAATGTGTGTCTACCTTTGCAGCTGTTCAAATGGTAGGACTGATCGGTCTTGACCCCCAGCTGCATGAATCAAATTGAATCTAATCCAAACACCAACACCCGGGACTTGACCACTCCCACTCCAAGCTACGCACTGTTCGCGTGGCTGGTCAGCGCCGGACGGCAAAGGCGGGTCTTCCTGGGGCACCGTCAAGGCTTCGTCCGCCATGGTGCTTTCGTCCGCCCGGTGGTTGGCTGAACCGTCTGCGGTGGTTCCGAACTGACGAACTGAACATGCTCCGATCTGCCACCGGCACGGTAGGAATTCGCGCAAGAGCGTAGCCAAAAGCTGTTTACTATCATATCTATCATATACTATCATACCATCTGACAAAAACAGTTGCCCTGTGCGAGCTTCCCTGAAAGCCTGAGCCTGGTAAAGATGGCACTTGAAAAGACAAGTTCCTGCGCCCCCTCACCCACAACATGCATGCTTTTTTGGCATTGACCATATACGTAGGCCGTGAAGCATGAGTATGCCGGCATGAGCGGCAACAACTGCTTCCAAGACAAAAACGTCGACAAAAGACCTGCGGCCACTGGACATTGCTGAACAGCACATCACCAAAAATATGCTTCCTGTCGTGGATGCAAATTTGATGACTTTTGAGTCATCGTGAAACCACATGAAATTCATTCAGTTTGAGGCTTCCCAGAAAAACGGCAGCAACAGCTTGGGGTAGCCTGATAGTTTGTGCGCCTGGAAGCCTTTTAGAAACTCCTCACACTTGTGCCACTTGGTGGTAGGTAGTCATGGATGTTCTGACTCAAGCAATCCCAAAACCTCAATGAGGCAAACAGTTCTTGCACCTTCATTATCACCCTAGTGGCAGGTATACCTGTTTTTAAACACGGGTGATAGTTAGTGCAACCTCAAACTACTATGAACTATATACCCTACCGCATCCAAAAAAACACTGGAACTGGCTGGCAGGCTGTTGCACCTGCATTGTGATGTCCATGCGTAGTATGTCCACATGGTGGGCACCCGAGAACATCAACTGGTTCATCTGGGGGCCTGGCGTTTGGACCCGCAGCTGCATGTCACAACATAAGATAAACCTACCTTCCACCCCCACCAAGAGCTGGGACTTGGTGCATTCTGGCCCAAAGCATGCCGTCGGGTCAAGGCTTTTGTCAAGTCCACAGAGTCAAAGGACCTGCTTTTCATTGTTTCTCTCTGATGGCAGCGACTCAGCATTTCCACCTGTGGGAGAATTCAGCATCTCTGCCTCGCCGCAAGCTCACCCTACCCCAAAGGGACATCAAAATCATGTAGACTGCGTGGAAACTGGGCAACTGCATCGTCTAAAGTGACTAAAGTGCATCGTTTTGGTGTATATAGTTGGCCCTAGTAACTAGTAACTATAGTATATTTTGGAGAGGAATGGGTGCACAATTTTCTTATCTAATCCTTCAGTGCCAAGAACACTTGCAAATCGTGCAACACATCTTGGCACCCATGGCCAAGCGCTCATTGCCTCCTGGACATCGCAAAGCTTCCTCAAAAGCAGCTGAATCTCATTAAACACTTCGGAGAAAGAGCTGTTGGTCGCGGTTTCCAGAATGCTTTTCTCCTCGGCTGGAGAAAGTGAGCTAGAAAAGCGCCCAGATGATGGATCACAAACTCAATTAGCATCGTTGCTCTTGAGAGGAATGCGATGGAAGTCGTTTTCAGGATTCTGGTTGACTACGTTCGGGGCGCCTCCGTCAATGATCAAAGGAAAAGCACAAAAATACAGCATCGCAAATGGCCTTGGGGTGTTGACCAGGTAGAACTTGGAACCGGGTGTTTAACAATCGCCACATTAACTGTAATCTCGCATCACACTGTTTCACCAAGTGTCTGAAAGCAATTCATGTGTATGCAGGCGCTTCAGCTCCATCGGTGATGGCTTAGGTGGTGCTTCATCGGGCACCGAAAGAGTCTGCTCTTGCATGGAAGGGTGGGAGGCGCGCACGCACCAGCAGCTTACAAACCAAATCTGCGGTCACAACAACCAACATGTGCCAACAAAGGATGCAGGTGCAGCGAACCTCCTTGAAGATAATTAGACTTAATTAATGTAAAAGGCCATGAACAGTAGCGCGGTCGACTCCCAAATCCACAAAAGAACGACTCCTTTCACCTAGATCCATGAATGAAGTCTCAACCTCTGTAAAGCCCTTCAATCAGTCACATCAGTCATCCGCCTCCGACTGCAGGCTTACTGGCTTACGCCTCCTACGACGATGCATCCCAGCCTTCAGCTCTGCTAGGCTCGAGTCTTTGCTTAAAGCAACGGCGGGAAACTCCTACGACGCGACGTCTGGGAGTCTGGCCGGTGGTCGTCTGTACGATGTCCGGTCGACGGACCCATTTCGAGTAGACTCGTTGCGCAACGAAGAAGCATTTTGGATTTTTTTCGTAGGCGCCTATGAACTCGAAGGTGTATCAATGCATTTCTGTGCATAAATACAGCACATGATAAATCATGAATCCATGCCTCTCACTCGCACAGGCACAATAGAGTGTCGCCAGTGGAGAGCTACCAGTAGTGAGGCCTCCAACCACCACACCAAATTCAACTGATGATGTCGCCCTCAAAAGCCAGGAGAACGCGCGAGGAGCACGCGCGGTCGCTATAGGATGAGGGCGGTCAGCCAACCCGACCGATCCCTCTGCTCCGGTCCTCCGAGATCTCGGGCCTGGCGTAGGACGGGCTAGGAGTGAGCCCTATCAGGCAACCACCTCAACCATATGTTCATCAAGCTGCAGCAGTTTTTAAGCCCCACATGGAACCCATGTCCATCCGAGAGCACCTCCATATCCAGCCACATCGCATGGCCGCGATGGCTTTCAAGCGTCATCCTTTTGCCATTGCCCATCCCGCCACGTACAGCCGTCGCCCGCCTGTCAGGATGATTAAAAAACATCCGCGAGGTGTTCCGCTTCTCCTCGTACAGCTTCTTCGCTCGTGGGTCTCCTCGCTCAGCGAATTTCAAACGCTGGCCTGACCGGTCAAACAGAGCTGTGTTTGGCCAATACCCGCCACCCTCAGCTTAAGGAACACCCTCAAGCCTCAGTAGGCTTGACAACCCGATAGATCGCCATGCCGAGACTTGTGGCTTCTTCAACACATCACCCAACCCCCGTTTCACACGATCCCCCAACCGCTGCAAAGCCGTCTCGGGTTACTCGGGCTAGTGGAAAAGACCAAGCCAACACATGCCAACACACACTGGTTTGTTTGCTTGTCTCTCTCTCTCTCTCCCCCCTGTCTCCATTGCCATGTTCAGTTCACTTGCTTCAGTGTGTTTGGGGTCGCCCATATATATTTTATATACATAAATTTACTATATACACACACACACACATATATATATATACACCACACTTCCGCGTGACTGCGGACCAGGGCCAGAACTGCGTCTGTTTCCCATGTATGCCGGAACTCCTTTTTCAGGACGAAGCTCTACACAAACGACATCATCCGGAGAAAGGCCACACCTCGTCGGATGAGCACAACACTTGTCCAACCGTCACATGTTAACACAAATTAACACGACAAAAGGATTCACTGAGGCCGTGAGGCTCTTCATGACTTGACACTGGGCACCAGCAATCCAACCCACGATGTCACGCCAAGACCTGTCCTCGAACATTCCTAGTTGAGTTGTTAGGTACCTGAGAGATCCCTGTACACTGTAGAGCATCAAGTCCAAGGACCTTGGCAATGTAACCCGTGTGGCAGGTGCACTTCCAATTTCTCATAATGGGAACGGGAAACAAAGTTCACTGAGTCAAGTCTGGACTTAGAATTCCAGCACCTTCGATGAGACAGGTGCTTTTGGTCTCCGGATATTCTTGGTTGAATATAGTTGAATCTGGTCCAACACTGTTTGGCACTGTGTGAGATGGGTGCTTCTGCATCAAGTTGTTTTGGGTCTGGACCTGCTGTCGGCGTTAAACAAACTGGAAGCAAGATTTGCTGCAGCAAACCTCGTCTCGCACACGTTGGCAACATGTTTTCGTTCCAACATGTCATGTTCATATCAATTCAGGTGACATCATATTTTCCATGCAAACCGAAATAAACGATTGATCAATATCGGCTAGAGTTGTGCCTGGAACAAACATGCCGATGTCTCTTCAGTTTGCTGTGCTGAGGGAACCTGGCCTGGCGAGTACCTCATGTTGCAGGTGTTTTTAAACCACATCCCGGAGACAAGCCAATTTGATAAATCTTGTCTGACGCTCAAACAACACCGCTTGGCTGCCTAGCTACCAAAACAGAATCGAACTGTCCAGCGGTTCTGACCCAAATGGAGCACCTGTGGCTCATGACGTGTCTTGCCAAGAAGCTGCTGAAGTGTCGCCATGTCATCCAACAGTTCATGACCCGCCTAAACAATGAAGCCGCGCTTTGTGCGGTGTCAAGCTGGAAGATCGAACTGAACTACAATAAAACAAAAATATCGGCCTCTTTATATGGTCCTATTGTGGAGGGCTACCTGTATACCAGAAACTAAACACCAACAAAGCGGCGCTTGTAGTGAAACACTTGAGATCCCAAGTCTGCTTCTGTCGCCCTAAAGCCCGGTCCCCATGTCATCGAAACAAAAAACTGAACAAAGTGAAGTCGAACTCTTAAGGCACCAGGTCGAACTCCTGCGATGCCGGAAATCGTGGATGGCCATTTTTGTATATTTTTTGTCCCGTTGTCCAGCATGTCTGAAGACAAATCAAACTCAGCGTACGGACTCGCACGTTTCCTGCGAAGGATAACTCCACATAACTCCTCCGGTTTGGGTGGTCGATCTGCAAGCATGGTGAATCCAGGCTCTCTACACGTGTTCACAAGCATCCCTCGCCAAAACACCTCCCGCCAAGCTTTGACTCCATGCCTGCATCCCAGTGAGGGCTACCAGCACAGTAGCCTCTCTTGGGAGTCTCCTGGCAAGTGTGTTTTCTTTCAATGGATTGAAAGTCCATCATCACATCAATCAAAGCAAAACGCCTCCAAAATACAAACACATGCTACAACCAACACACCAAGACATGCTTTCCCCTCGCACCGATCAATGGCGACCACCACGCATCTGGGTCAACTGTTCATCTCTTTTTCCGGATGATTTCGCCTTCAAATCCCTGCGGGGATCCTTTGGGAGTCCATCAACCTTCATTCATGGACAACGAGAGAACTGATCTGCATCCGATTCTCTAGTGCGGTCGGGCGCTTCGCCCTGTCTTCGCGGTCCGGTCGTCTGCGGTCTGAGGTTTAAGTCGAGACAGAAAGGACAGCCTCCAAACATTGCTTAGCAGCTGCAATGCCTATCACATTGCTTAGCAGCTACATTGGATCTTTGCATATCTTTGCATTCAAGTTGAGAACTGCCCACACTTTTGCCTTCTGAATTGTGGAAACAAAAGGCACACTTTCGACCTGGGGCCTCAATGGGCTGTTCAGTTTCACCAGTTCTCCTGGACAAGGTGTGTAAGAGTCGTGTTAAAGTCGAGTGGTCAAAGCAACCACACCCCCCGTTCGATTCGACTCTCCACATCTGCAGCCAATATGCCCCGATCTGAAGAGATCTGCCAACAAGCAAGTGCGAAAAAGTGAAACAGCTCAGCCCCTCCTCTGCCCCTTCAGGTCTCTCTGTCACTCCTCCCAAAAATCCCCCAAAAACCACCGCTCACCGCGCCATCGTTGAGCCGCACTGGCGCGGAGCTCCCCCAGCGTCGAAGCCGCTCTTCGCTCGCCCGGCTCTTCGTCCGGGCACCTTGGATCGGCTTCCAGTCGGTTGGTGGATGAAATGAACGTCGGCTGGTGGATGTCCCACAATTCCAACTTGGCAGTTTGAAATCGTGAGATGTCTGCCCTCTCTGGACCAGTCTTTCGGCAATTCGCAAACAACAAGCAAAAGAAGGATGCTGGACTTGTTTTGAAGATTTCTCCTGCAAAACACATGGAAGCAAAAAGGAGAACGGACCTTCCGCATGTCGCAGGAACGGGGAGAAACCACTGTTTTGCAACAAAGGCCAACGGCCACCCGGTGCACGGCCAACGGCCACCCGGTTCAGGGCCTGGGCATCTCTGCGAAAAGGTCCTGCAGCATCAAATCCACGCAGCACAACTATTCCCAACTTTCATGAAAGGATATGTTCTCGGGCATGGCATGACAAACCCTCAAAAAAATAGGGATCACCATGGATCACCAAAATTCATTCATCAGACTGGGGTACCCGGTCATTGGGTAGCTCATCAACTATGCTGAATGAGCAGCTCCAATGCAAAGTGGGTTCTCTTATGGCTTTAATGTTACCCGTTAGCCCTACAAACTTGCCACGGCTGGCACCCCGTAAGGCCCTTAAAGGCAAAAGGAGCTCGGCACAGCCATGGGAGATTTCACCAGTGGGTCCTCTCAAATCCAAGGGCCACACCCCTTGAGGCTGCAGAAGTGTCGGTCGGAACTGCTGGAAGGCTTCTCTCAAACCACCAGCCTTTCCTCCCATCCAAGCTATGGGACGGCTGCAAAGCTTCGTGTCATGGAGCCCCAAATGCTGTAAATCTCTTGATTCCATCACCCAGCGCCCTAGAACACTCCCCTCCCACTCCGGCACTTCGTCAGGATTTGAGGTCAACGTAGGCTCTTCCTGGGCAGATCTGATCATCCGATGTACAAACTGGATTCGAACTGCTGACGATACGCCTTGTTTGATCAAACCTCTTTAATCACCTGATCGCACCTGATATCCCCTGAGCTCCAGCACTCTCGAGCGAATTGGGCAGGACTCCATAAGACCATTGGAAAAGAAACTGGGCACCTGGTCCAGGGATGGTCTAAGAGATCATCCGTAGGTCCGAAACCGCGTTTAAACATGTGGAACTGACCCTGAAGCCGGTGGCGGGCTGGGGTCCGGAAGCCGGTCCAATGGGCACGGCCGTGCTGTAGACCAGGATCAAGGAACGAGCAAAACAGAGAATAGGTCCAGCATTATACTCACAAAAGTCATTCTCCAGCATGTCATTGGCATGCATGAAAGTAGCTTGCTGCGACACCGAAAGCAAACTGCATAGTATACTGGATAGGAAGTTTTTTGGGGTGACTGTTTAGTCGCAGCAACAATGTCATCAACCACGGTTAAGCCAAAAAGGGCTGGCGGCTGAGGCGCTAATGCACCCCCAATTGCCGACAAAAAAAAGGAACATGGACCTCGGAAAAAGAAACAAAACTACTTGGAGCAAAAAAAATGACGTCACATGGAACCCGTTCTTCCTTTCGATGATGCCCGTCACGGGCCTCAGGTTCGAGATCTTTCCTTTCGCCCACAGCATCCTGCAGTGGATGAAACCCATGCTGACATGAATCTGGAGAGAGGCTTATATGTAGAAAGAACATGCATTGGATTGGCAATGAACCTGCTTGGAGGGATTCTCTTCTATAACGTCGATGAACTTTGAGTGACGTCAATTTCGCCGCTGCCTGCTTCACCTGAAGTTGAAAGGCGGCCACTTGCTCCACCGACAGCGTGGGCTGCGCTTGGTCCCAGTGAACCAGCAGCACCAGGTCACCCAGGATGGCTTCAACACCTCGGCAGCGTGGCGGGAATGGCATCATGCAATGGGCCGGGGATCATTCCCACTTTTTCTCGTTCCCGCGAGAAAATCCACCAAGGATTGTGGGTTTTTCCAAACACCACTTCAGTCATCTAACCCCATCAACTCAAGACTTCAGTACAGTATTATATATAATCTATCTATATATATATATATGTTTGACCTTTGACTCTGCACCTCTGGGGCTGCCGGACTTTTTGCTCCGCCCATGTAAGCTTGTGGTGGTTCATGAGCTTCGTGGCACATCGAAAAGCGAAGTCAACTGCCATGCTCATCCACCCTTTGCAAGAGCGAGCCGGGTTGAAGAAAACAACGGGCCAGCTGGACGTGCAGGCACTGGATGTCATCATTTCCTCAAGGGAGAGGATCCCGGTTCAAGAAAGCCCAGCGCATCGTAGATGCTGTCAAATGCATATAGTCTTTGTCTCACTTCAGGCCTCAAAGCGGTGAAGACAGCGTTTGCTGCCATTTCTTGGAGGTACGACTCCAGAGTCGTCTGAGATCGCAATCTCAAACGCCAGAGTATGTTCGAAACTGGTTCTCCTCGCCTGTAGAGCATGACTGCAGCTCCTCCCCTGAGTCCCCCGGGGGTGAGCCTGAGTTTGGTAGGGATCATACAAAGTTCTAGGATAGCATCCCATCTGCGTCTATACACTGATGGCGACGAAGGATACAGCTGCAAGGAGGCTGGCAAACGCTCAAACACCAAACTGAGTATGTGTATGGCTGTGGCGTCAGTGATCTTCATATGTTGTATACGTGCAGGTTGCCGACCGAACGACTTGAAGAAACGAAGCTGCAAAAATAAACTAGTCTGCTCTTTCTCCATAAGGTCACTTGGGAACACAAGATCTGCTCTGGAGCACTTCAAGATTTCACCAACTCGGCCTGCACCGTAAAAAGCCAACAATGTCACACCAGCCCATGCATGCCATTTAAGCTGCCATGCAACCGCCACCATGGCCTTCACAAGACCCTCGGGAATCGGCACCCTGTGTTCAACTGGCTCTGCCATTTCCCATTTCGAAACCAAATCCCAACACGGGGCAATCAAAGCTCTGACTGAGGGCAACCACCGTTGGCAGGAAAGCAACAAGTGCCTAAAGTCACTCAAAACACCGCCGCGTCCAAATTCCAAATTCCCATATATGCTCAAAGCTGTGACAAGGAAAGAGGGGACCGCTGTGAAAAGAAACTCTAGCTCTACACTGCGCACGTATTGCTTTACCCAAACAACAAAAGCCTCCAAAATTTTTGCTTCTCTCAGGAGAGTGGTTGTTGAAAGTAGCTGTATGCTTTCTAGTTGGATGTGCCTGGCTGCTCTGGTCCGCCGAGGACCAGGAGTTTTGGCTTCCCCTGCACGGAGAGAACCAGTGCGGCTGCAGCCGGCAACATCGAGCCTCGCATCTCCTTTCCAGCCACACTGTATTGCCGCCGCTGAGCCAAGCACTTCGCACAGACCTCGCGGGTATGGTTCCGCGATTTGAGTCCAAGCTTTGCCATGCGGCGCAGTTCCCCTGAGGGCCTGGTGGGGCCTCCGGCACATACACATCATGCGGAGCCCCATGAGGCCTTTGATGTTGGTCGCTATCCGAGTAGCTTTACGCCACTGAGTACCGAAGCGGCAAAAGCAGCAGCGGAAAAGGTGTCGGGATGAAGGGTCACGATACTTTGAAAAACGTTTTTGTCTCCACCACCAGCTCGTGTCAGGGTTCTCCAACCAAAACCCTACAACAGGTGTCAACGACTCTGTGTGCTCGATGAGGTCAGCTAAGAAGTCGTTGTGGGAGTTGCCTTGTCTGATCTTCTCCCTCATCTTTGAGCTTAAACCGGGCAGGCCTCTCAAAAAAACGTTTGCTGCGGACCGGTGGTGTCACTGCTACTGAGAATGAAGCGCATATCGGAGCCGCGCCCCAGACTTTCACAGCTCCCAGTTCAAGCAGCTGGCGAATCCTGTTTCGCACACCCTCATCCAACAAATCTTCTCCAGTGCTTCTCTTCCATTCAAAGCAAAGAACCCAAGGTGCACCATGCCTAATCAGAGCTTTCGCTGTACCAAATGACCCTGAAAAAAGATCCAGCGCACCAGGTCTGTCAAAACCCTTGAAGCCCTTAGGAAGCAAGAACTGACGTAGTGGGAAGGTTTTCAAGAGGTCAGCGGCTGCTGAGTTCAAACCCGACTGACCGTCGGGCGAAGCTTCGCTCACAGCGGCCAACGCATGATCAAGAAAACATCGCTTCGTTCGAGGCAGCCTTGCAGCAGGCTTCAGTTCTGGCATGTACTTGGACTGCAAGTCCGCACATTCAAAGTCATTCTTGGCGACTGCTAGCTCTGACTGACGGATCCAGGCGTCAAACTCTTCAAATGAACCGGCTGCAAGCTGGTCCCACCATGAAGGCAGCTCTATGTCGGGAGGTTCAGGTTGTGAGTGTCGAGTGGGTCCATCAGCTCTGTTTGTTTTGCTTGGGAAATACATGTAACTGCTGTAGAGGTCGGAGCTGAGGACGTTGGGAAGTGCTTTCATCATTTCTTTGTTCAACGTTCTGGACGCCGCTCTCCCTTTCACTAAAGCTCCTAAGCTAACTTGTGAATCAAGGCCATACAAAAAACGCCTGTGAGTGTATCGCTGCGCCAACTGTCGTTCCTCCAACAAGTGTGCACGAACTTCCAAAACGTTTATGTGTGCCTTTTTTAAAACAGGTTTCCTCCAGCGTTCTGTGTATGTAAGCCCCCTAGCAAGCAGCAGCCAAACAGGTCTCGCATCAAAACTGTCTCCCCCAGGTAACTCCGAGTCCGGCCCAAGAGCCCCGTGAGCACGGAGCCAGGCCTTGTCTGCAGGTAGGAGGCGAGTCCATCGCCCTTTGCGCAAGCCACGGCGGGCAACCTCAGACACGAGCGTCAAGGGTGCAGGTGCTCTCACAGCTGCCATCCAGTCGAGGGAAGCGTCGGTCGAGGTAACGAAGGGTTCGTACTGGGCACGGAGGTTGCAAACAGAAAGGGGTCCCAAAAGTGCAATACACCAAAGTTCACTGCGCATCTCAGGTGATAGCCTCAGGATAGTTGCTTGCTCTGAAAACCCCAGTGCGTCAAAAATAACATTCATAGTGCACAACAGCCTACGCCGCACTGCAAATAACGATACCCAGGAACCTGCAATGGCCTCCAAAAGTGTCACCGAACTGAGCCCAAGCATGGCAACGCGCAATGTAATCACCACTAAAGGCCACAGCCGCAATGAAGAACCCCGCAGCAAACCCTTAACACCGTCAATCTCGACTCCCCAAAACCGGGACAAAGCTTGATTACGAAACTCTTTTTTCAAGTTGACCTCAAGGCCGTGCTTTGCATAAGAGCTCAATGCTTTGTCAAGCCGCTTGTCTGCTTCTGTTGTCTGCACACCATCCAACACGCTTTGCCAGTCCTCTCTGAGCAGCTTCTCAAGCAACACAAGATCATCTATGATCACGCCAACTGAAAGCAGCCCTCTAGGTATGTCCCCTTGCAGGGATATCATCTCATCCTGTGAGAGGACTCCAGCTTCAAGCATCATGGCCAGGTGTGAGCACTGAGCAAACTCACAAGCGTTTTGGTCGCCCATGGCTAAGGTGGCTAGCCCGCAGAAAACGGGGCTATCATAGCCCTCCAGCCAATCGCTGAAGACATATCGAGCCTCCTGCAGAGTAAGGGGGTCAGCCAAGGCATTGCGCCTCACTCGCTGGTCTCCCACTGTGAACTGGTAGAAGAAGTCTCGCAGATCCTCGCCCGAGGCCAACAGTATTTGCTCAGGATCCAGAACAATGTCAGCCAGTGCGGCAGCGGAAGCCATGCTCTTGCACCATCTGTGTAGCACCGCATCAGCTAAGTTTGCAGGGCGAGCGTCCAGAATCAAGCGGTCTCTGGTCTGATTGATTCTTGGGCACTGCAAACAAGCCAGACAAATGCCGACGGCGAACTTCAGAGGCATGCAGCGGCTTGAGCCGCTTCGAGTCTGCCAGCTTCTTCAAAAGTTCAAGCTTGTTGTTCGAACTGGCCCGAATGTGCACGACTGGAATTGCTTCTGTAATGGAAGAAAGTTCTGGGCCCACTTCCAAAGGCCTCTCATACACTGCAGCAGTCTCTTGATCCAGCAAAGGGACCGGGTCGAAAGCAGGCGGATTTGGGAATTCAATCCGATCAGCCTCAATGTCTTTGGCTGGACTCACATTCATCTTTTGCATCTTCCCTATCACCTTGCCACAAGTGACAGCCGCATGGTCATAGTCAACCGGAGGTCGGGACAAAGCATCTGTGTAGTATCCATGCGACTGCAGGTCAACTGAGGCCATGGCTTTGCAGAGAGCTCCCAATGCATCCTCAAAGGATTCAAATTTGGCAGCCCCCCGGCCCATGAGATCAGCATCGATGAATTCTGGTGTATTTCCATCAAAGTTCAAATGCCTAAGGACGGAGATTGCTGTCCACTGCTTGGCTGACAACGGTGTGCCAAGGCCCATCGTTCGTGGTGCTCGTGCCGGTCTTCCCAAGGCCAACCAACTCAAAAGAACCGACTGCAGAGAAATGAGCCGTTTTCTCCAGAGCCCGTCAACCTCAGAAGGGTGGCTTGCACGAAAGGCCTCAGGATATGGTATAGGCATCGGCCAAGTAGAGGCAGAAGAACTTGAGGTGGCGCTTCCTTTCGAAGCGCTTGGCATTTGGAGCATAGATCGCAAAAAACTTCGAAGGCCACAGTCTGTTTGTTGCAACCAACGAGGCATCGAATTCGCTATGGCGGAGACCCTCACGGCACTGACTGAAGATCCAGGAACTTTTGCTTGCTTCGGCAATGCAGTCTCTTCAGCTCCGCACGGCCCTGACGGGCCAGTCATGCATCCATCTGAGTCCCATCCCCAGCATTGCGCTTTGGACGGGCTTTGGCTTTCCTCTTGGGCTGAGCATCGTCTCCGCTGGCGGTGTCTTCTTTCTTGCCGCCCTTTTGGAGCTTCCTGCGCTTGTCCAGGTAGTCCTCTGTGTCCCGAAGGTGCGCCAAGGCCACCTCCGACCAGCGAGGATCGAGCAGCTTGCTGAAAGGTGGATCCCCCATTGAGACATCTGGTGGATGGTGTTGAGCCAATACTGCAAAGGGCGGAGGAGCCTCCAAACTCAAGGTGGCTGCCATCTGCCAACTGCCCCTGTCTGCTGCAGCCTGATCCATCTGCAGAAGCAGCAAGCAGCTGCGGGCTCTTGCTTCCTCCACCCGATCCATCATCAAGCAGTCCAACACACCGCTGATGCCCCAAGCCGCATGAGCCAGAGTCTTGTATGCCCCAATGAAACTGCGGTGCTCGACCCAAGCTCTCGCGGACAGGGCCGGTTCCGGCATTCCAGGAGTGCGAGTGCGGCCTGCCAGGTCCTCCATCATCAGCTTCTCGATGTTGCGGGAGATCTCGTGAGGACTGGCGGTCAGTGACTTCATAAGAGCCCGGCGAGCTATCGCCGAGCGCTTGCCCGCACCCGACCCGACGGACTCCGATCCACCGCCATGAACACCATCCAATGCAGCCTCCAAAGTCGACTTCTTCTTTCTCTTTTCGGCTGTAAGGACGTCCATGATGTCGGTCAACTTGCCTAGAGCTTTCATCATCGGATCTGAACTCGCAGCAGGTTCGAGGTCGCCCGATCCAGCAGCGTCTGCATCCGGCTCCTCGTCCGATTCGGACAATGGGCCTGCCTTGACCTTGGGAGGAAGTCGAGGCTCTCTGACAGTTCTGGCCTTGCCTGCCGAAGCCATCAACGCTTGCATCTCTTGGAGAGCTGAGTCTGCCACTCCCGCTTGCTGCGCCGCCCGAACAACAGCTTGATCCAACAAAGGGAATTCGGCTGTTGCCATTGCACCCTTTTGCACAGGAGAGGCCTTCACCTTTGGCTTGGAAATCTGTTCTGCCGGAGGAGCAGCCGTGAATGGAAGCTGAGGCAACTTGGCAGCCTGCGTCTTCTGCATTTGAATCAGCTCTTGAATGCCTGTCGTCACAGTAGCCATAGTCTCCTCCAATTGCAAGACTCTGGATTGCAGATCGTGAGACCCAGAAACGTCGACCTTGCCGGGCTCCGGCGCTGGGTGCTCCACTGCCGTAAAGAAAGCAAAATGCTCCTGACAGACCTCCACCAAGCCTTCCGCAAAGGGGTAGATGCCCAATGAGCCGTCTGGAGAAAAGAGGAGAGTGTCCTCGTCTAGATCTTCGCCCTCCTCTGGAAACAAAATGGTTGGAACTAGGCTCGGCTTCAAAAATCCGACCCAAACTTTCAATGAATTCTCGATTGGCGAGACAGCATGCCGGTCGTCCGGCTCTGCAACAACAACTTCGACGAGGGTGGCTTTGGTCAAGGTGTCCGGCGGGACCATCCGCTGAGCTCTCAACCGATGCCATCCTGAAAAAGGGATTGTGACCAGTGTCTTGCCTTCAAACTGAGACACCAAAATGATCTGTAGATGAACTGGCTGGCCACTTTGGCCTTGTAGCGACAAAACTCCGGTCGGGTAGTTGAAATCGACCCGGCCTTCTTGGTAAACCAGCGGAAGTGAAGTATCGGGAACTGTTTCCACCTCCGCCAGCTCTTCTCCTTCCTCGCTCATCCCTCAATCAGTCCCCCCCACTCAAAGGCACCTGCAGTGATAGCCTGCTGGATGTCCTGAATGGCTGGGAGGCCAACGAAGATCGAATCACCGAGCTCTGAACCACGCTTCACTAGATCACGAGCCAATGCCCACTTGCGAACCACTCGAACGGGAGAAAACACCTGGTCGTCAAACGACCGCACCACGATCCAGTACTTCGAGGCAAGGCCAATGCGGTCCCGCCCCGATGCACCACGAGGTTCCCCACGAAGTGCCCTCCTCAGAAAACAACCGACAGCACGAGCCGCTGCCTCACGCTCGGAATCCAGATGGGGAGCCTCAGGCGTGGAGGATGTTCCTGGAGCGGGGGCTGTGTGAGCCAAGGCACGATCGTAGGCTGCTTTGTCAGCGGCCTCTGAGTCCCGAATCTCAGAAATCAAAGTGAAGGGGCCCGAAGAGCTCAAATCAATGCCACGTTCCTGCAGATCAATGACCTGGAGTTTCAAATCCCTCACCTCACCACGAAGAGCGGTGAGCACCGATCGAAGGCTTGCAACCTCCCCCCCTAACCGTGTCCAACTGAGTTTGGATGATCTCGAAATCCTCGGGGGAAGATGAACCGGGCATACACTCAAACCAATCGGTAGTGAGGCCGGGACCCTGCAGCCTGTCCGTGCAGCCGACTCAGAGCCAAGTATCGAAGGGCCTGTACCACCTCAACCACAGGTAAAAGAACCAGTCCAACAGCCAACCCAGCAAGGAACGACAGGGGGTCAAGTGACCAGGTTCGACCAACGCAGTAAGGTGAATGCGCAGGGAGTTCGAATGGCTCCAAGACGCTCGCAAGCGTGCCCAGGGTTCGAGCCACTTCCATGCTTGGCCGGCGAGTCAGGAAAACATGTGGAGCATTTATTTGTTTTTTTCTGCATTGAATGCACCAGCTCTGAACCCACCAGCCATCCATTCACCACCAGCCAGCTGCCACAACTCCGCAACTCCCGGCCTACGTCAGGGACCAAATGCACAAGCCCACCCGAGAAGGTGTCCTCCAAGGGCTTTTGTGCTATACCACGCAAGGTGTCGAAGTGGCGAAGCCTACAGGTGCGCAGCATGGCGGTTAACGCATGAACCATATATGAACCGGGCATTTCCCTCCCGGTGTGTACTTACTTCGTACAGGCCGAAACGGGCCGAAACATACACATAGTCCATTGATAGCCTCAAGAACGTGGCACAAGCACTCACAGGAGCCAACAAGCCAAAGGAGATTTAAAACATATCATACATGTTACATAAATTAATATCAAAAACATAAATTAAAGACGACGACAACATGGTTAACACGAAAATGTAGAATATTGAATATTGGTTGTGTTTGTGCATTGCGTTTCCAATAGGCTGCCAGAATGATGGGCCTCGCAGCTTCACACGCTGGCAGGTTCAATGTCTTAACCCACTCAGCGTCCACGCGTGCCAAGGCTTTCCTTGGGTCGCCCGGTTCAAGAACGTCGTGCTGCATGATGCAGGCTGCGCATGGCTGCGCTGCACTCCCCGTTCAAGAACGTCGTAGCTATAGTATAGCGGGCCGGAAATCTCCTTTATTGGTTCCTATTTTTGAGATACTTCACTATGTTCCGACCTTCAAACAACCTATGTCGAGATCTAATGTCAAACTTAAATGCAAATCGAGCACAACCAATTCGAGTCCAGTCCAGCCCTCTATTTTCCCTAGGTTGTATTTTCTTTGTTCTTGCTTCAAAGGCAACCCTGAAACACAAACACACACCAGAGACAAGAGATGAAAAGAGCACACAAAAGAGAAGAAACACATGTCGTACATTGTCCTACTATGTGGTTCAACTACCTTCCATCCGCCTTCCAGCCGCCTCCACCTTCCCCTGTCGCCGCGCATCAAGGCTTTCTGCCGGATCGTCGCCGGCCTCGGGTCCAACGTCGTGAAGCTGACGCTGAGCTCCTCGGTCGCGGCGTGAAAAAGGTTCGGTGGATTTCATGCGTGGAACCAACGACGCTGACAGTGACACTGGTCAACGCCAACCAAAAAGACGGGAAAAACACGGATGAGAAAAGGACACGTTCGGAACAGTGGTATCGGAACGGCAGAACAAGTGCCCGCACTTCAATCGAGCACCCCCAAAAGTCACTGTTAAGATATGTTAAGATCTGTTATATAAGCCATGCTCCACCGTTGTTTTGCCAAGAGCACCACTCGGCGCTGATGAACCTTGGACCCAATCACTCGTTGCTGTGGTGCTTGCACGAAAGGCTCGCTCGCGCATGTATGAAAGGCTCGCTCGCTCGCCGTGCCGGGCGTCGACGGAGTCGGGGATCTCGCACAAACCTTGCAGCTGTTGGGCGGCAAAGCGCTGCAGGAGGAGTTGCACTGCCTTCGGGGCGAAGACTTTGACCTGGTCCCATTCGGAGCGAGTCTGGCCTTTCGAGTCCGGCCACGGTTTGGGTATGCATGGGTTCAATCCTCGAAGGGTGGAACCCCAAGAACGGGGGTATGATGGGGGTCCCTGGGCAACGAACACGGGCGATCAAAGGCCTTTGATCTGGGAGATCCGGGGAAAAGGGAAATTCGACAGATCTAGAAGCTTTGCTCAGGGAGATGCATTGGGTGCACCATGTTTCGCTTACTCTACTTGGCCCTGCCTCCAAAAAAAACACCACCCCCCCCGTCCAATTACACTCCAACACCTACCAACTCTACTCTTTCCGCCGCCCGCCCGTGCTGCTCGTGCAGCACGCACGCGCGCCCCGTTTCTCACGCCTCGGTGAGCTTTCGGTGGAGCCGATAGACCCTCTGCAGCTGCAGCAGGCGCTGATTCTCTTCGAGGATCGGAGCACTCAAGCGCTCAGGCACCGGCACCTCCTGAGCGATTTCAGCTGGATGCGGGCCAAAAAGCAAACTTGTCATACATAAAACATCATAAAACAAATAGAACACCATTCGTCCATATCCATCCACTGTATTTCTATAGCCGGAAGCAAATTCCTAGTTTGCTGTTCCGCACGTCCACTGTTTGATGTGCCCCATCTCGTTTTGTACATCTCACCAAGCTCCTGAGCGCTCCAATCGGCATTCATCCCACACTTTCGGTACCTTGGATACACTCCGCGGACCAAAATCACATGGAAGTGAGAAACCCACTGCTTTTTTCCACTTCCATAGTCAAAGGCAGAGTGCATGCTGTCGAGAGGCATGGGTTGACTTCAGCACGGCTATCATATGTTGCATGTTCTTTTTGCTGTGTATACGGAACGAATCCATATCGAAGTGGATGACTGCGTCTTTGGGTGCATGGTAGCCAAAAGCAGGTTAGCATAAGTTAGCCATCTACCAAGCCAAGCTGACTGATGTAATGTTTTCATATGTGAGTTGCATCCAGCTTTCTCTGCCAAGGTGCAGTAAGAAATACGCATCCGAGGAGTGCAACACCGACCGGCCATCATCAGACTTGGGGAACAGTGTTTCACATTGTCGCGCCCCCAGGATCTGCACACGTTGGTCGTTGGCATCCTTCCAAACACCTCCGTCGATGGCCAAACTCTGTAGGACAAACTTAATCATTTTGGAATTGTCTGCCTAAAAACCTCTTGAATTTGGTGCAAACATGTGCAAACAGTGCAGGGCTGAGCTCGACCATGACGGTCTGTCAAGTGTAACCATATAAACACACTAGAAACCATCTAGTGGGACCGGGCATCCGTTGGCCTATGCAATTGAATATGCGATGTTTGCAACACACTCCCAACAAAAGAAGTTCAAGGACAGGTTTCAAAGCGTTTCAACTTAGGAGCTTTGGCATCTTGAGGTGAAGTGACACCAGACGGTACAACCGGTACAAATAAAGAAAGCCCTCGTGTGATGTGTCATGTCAGTCTTACCCATTCATTCGCTTGCCGAGCCCCGCCGGAGCTGTGGCCTTCGGGGTCTCGCAGGAAGGCGTGGTAGTGACCCCCATGGGCAGTGCCACTGTGCAAGCACACGGCCGACAACTCGTAGGTGCCGCCGCCCCAGAAGCTCAAATCCAGCCTGGTCTACAGAATGCTTGGGGGGCAAGGAGGGGTTTGGGGGGCTGTCACCCAGCCAATGTATGGATGAATGTTCTGCGGGTGGTTCGTAAGGGTGGAGTGTGGAAGTCGTCTCATCTGTTGTGATTTATATATGGTTTATTGAGCCGTGAACCCAAGAAGCAAGCGATCCCCGGCAAAACGGACCTGATGTAGCGCATTAAATCTTTGGTGATGACAGTGACCCCAGCACGCGGCTCTTGCTCAGCGACTGAATGATCCTTCCTCTTGCACTCAGGTTGGCCTTCCCCTGGAAACCCAGGAACACCAAGTTTGAGCAAAGCAGCAAACAGTTTGAACCATCAGTTCATCTCTCCTGCAGGAGCCTTTACATTGACCCCAGATTCGGCCATATCAGTTTACACATGTTTAGTCTATGGCACTCCAATCACGTAGATTTGCTTAATTAAAGGAACTGGAAAGAACATGCATATTCAATAATACTATGCCCTCGAATCGAAAAGAAAATCACCCATAGAGAAAATAACCATCACCCAAGAAGTCACCCAGGGCCCGAAAAAGTCACCACTTTCAAACTTTGCACCTCACGAAACCGCGACGTCTAAACTTAACGTCTCTTCACGAACCAAGTGACTCCAGGGGAATGGCCAGTAGATCTGAGAGCTTCTTCCGACGCATCGTTTGCAAATCAAAAACAAAACCTGGAGCATCCAGGAACAAAGGGCATCGCTTCTAGGAGCAAGGACGCTACTAGTAGCTCCTGGCATCGCTACTAAGAGCAAGAAGCTACTAGGAACAAGGGGATCGCTACTAGCAACAAGGATGGAAAACAACACACAAGGTTGATCTGAGAAACAACCCATCCTCTTTTTATCCACACCGCTGATGATTCCTGCACTTTCATTGATTGAAACTCAAACTTGAACATTATTATTGTTGTTATATCGGTTCTTAATGTAGACTCTTGATTAATACACCCCCACGATCCCCCACGGTGAATTGAACATCCTCTTCAAAGGGGGGGTATTAATCAAGAGTTTACATTATAGATTTATATATAGCTATACAGTAATAATAAGGGTAATCCAAGAGCCACCCCTTGAAAACCAGAATGAGTCATGCCAGTCATGCCGGTTCTCGACGGAAACCGAAAGAAGAATGGTCTCCTGTCCCGTTCTGTGGCTTCCGCGGCAAGAAGTAGTCCGCTTCGGGTTCTGATGCACACTGATTGAACGAATGGGGAGCAACACAACAGAACTCCGTTGGACATGCATGGATCCTGGCAACCAATGAATGGTGCATGATGTCTTGATCATGCAATATAAGGCCTCTATTCAGTAGCCTGGTTCGAATCTCTGGCCTCTAGCTGATTATCATACAGCCTGACAACAGCCGTCATCAGGCAGCACAGTTCAACGAAGCTTCGACTCCTGGATTCAGCCAACCCGACATGCAAGCGAGCAACGCAAGAGTTGCAAACAAAGGATCTTGGGCACCGTGTCAATGCTGGTGCCTCGGCCATGTTTCACTATGAACCCAGCGAATCCCAACTACCACAAAACCATCGGAACAGTCCTTCAGAATAAAAGGCAGCCTGTCAAACATCGATGAAGGCACAGGTCTCTGGGACGAGTTCCGAACGCGCAAAGCAACATAAGCAACGATAAGCAACATATAATTAGTCATCTGAAATCATCTGAACATACACAATTGATCACTTAAATAATTGTAGAGACGATTGCTAAGAGAATCTTGAGGTATTTTTCCCAAATCGGGCCTCATCAGGGTGCGAACAGGTCCATCACGCCTACATGAGTTGGCATGCAGCCAAGGTGCCACTCAAGGCATCAACCTTCTCCCCCAACTCTTCCTCAATCGCAAAATGCAGGAGACACAAAAAGCAAACGGAATCAGGCACATGCGCAAATTCTAGCAACATCGGCGTATATTTGATACAACTGTTCAGGTGAACAACAAGACACGACACGGTTGAGCATTAAAGGACACATAATCAAGCCACGTGCTTTCGCTACCCGATGTTTCTTCAATGTTTATCCGCTATTTTGTCTCTGGCTTCCTACCCCTTGATATGTCAATTAAGAATTGCCGAGTCTTCATTGGTCGAATCGTTCACATCTTCGTGTTTCTGAGTGATGACCGGTCTAAACGGGACTTGATGCTCAACAGGACATTGGCTATCACAGCCGTTGGCCGTTGTTGGCCAACGGCTCAATTCCACACCTCATCCACAAGCGAAACATTTGACTTCTCTGGCTCCATCACCCGACCCCCACGCTCCAGTTCCATCGTCCGAGCATCACACAGCCACTGGTTGTCTCCTGAGAGAAGCGTAGGCTCCGTGAAGTTCCTCAAAGCTTCCTCCAAGGTCTTGCAGTCCTCAAAGCTTCAGCCACGTTCAGACCACCGGAGTGAGGTCCAGCCTGCAGGACCTGGTATATGAACGCATGCCAAATTCCATATTGGATGACGGATAGCATGGACTGAGTAAGTTTTGCGGGGTGATGAAGAGTGGGAACTGGGGCAACTTGAACATAAGTTCTCATGGAGTTGCGTAATAAATATAACATAAAAAACATATATATTGTATATGTTCAGTAATAACAATACAATCATAAAGTATGTCATAGTACGTCCAATTTTCTAACAGTGTATGGCGGGGGCTGTCCTTGAAATTTCTTCAGGCTGGAAGGCTCCCAAATAATATCGCTCGGGAAAGCCACCCCGCCGTTCATCTTTGGAAGATTTCAAGCCATCTCCAAGCTACAAGTTAAACACTTGAATCACCTTTTAACAGTAAGTGATTCTGGGCCAAGTCCTGCACTATCAAGGGGCAAACTAAGCTCAGTTCAGTCCCAACATGTTCGTGACCAAAAGCATCGTCAGTCAGATCTAGTATGAGGACAATCGCGGCCACGTACAGATGAAACGACCCTCCGTGATAAAGCATGCCAATTTCATGTATGGGAACAAGGGGATTCAAAAAACAAACAATACATATTTTAACCAGCCTGATATGCGCCCACGAGCACCCCCCCGACCCCCGAAACCGCCCTTGCCAAATGAGGCTCTTGAATAGGCACCTGCAAATCCATATAGCTGGCTGGCCGTCTGCCTGCAACAGTTGGGCAGCTGTCACCACAAAAACAAAAAGCAGGAATATTCGGAATAGATAGCTTGGCAGCAGTAGAATACCAGTCATACGAGCAGCATAGAAACAACAAACGCAATTATTCTGAAGGAACATCAGTCAAAATAGTAAACCAATAAACCAGCGAGTTCGGATACCAAAGCCACAAATTGCCCAGAATCACCACTGTTCTCAATTCTCTGAGCGACTATTCCCCCAGTCCCCAGATGCGCTGAGCAGCTTTCGTAGACTTTGTCCCTGTCCTGACAAAGCTGGTGTCCGGTTCTTCAGTCCAGGATCCAATCGGTTGGATCCATCGAAACGCAAAATTCTGCTAACCGCCCAACGGGTCAGGCATCCATTTGGAGGCCGCAAACCCATCCGGCTTCCCTTCGCGAAGCAAAAACCTGGTGCAAACAACCACCGTCCACTTGTCTACGGAAGCTGTATGTTTTCGATCGATCGAGCTACATTATGGCATGGGTGTGGCTTTCTGCAGCTGTGTATGTGTGCTATCGCAAGGAAGGGTACGGATTGGTGTATGGCAGGCGTTTACAATGCCATCCCGGCTGAAGCACTCCGAAGCATTCAAATCTCCATCACAGGGGCAAAATTGTAAAATCGATGCGAGCTGTCGACGCGAAGATCGATCGAGATCGTCAAGCATGTCCTCCTTGCACCTGGTATAGTTGGTCATTTGGCCGCTGTACCTGGGCGCCGAAGAATCACGGCGTGCGTCATGGGTCATGCGACACGCGCGGGAAAACACGAGGCGGCATGAGAAGGAGTTGCGGACGAGTCGGCAAAGAAAACTTGGGCTGTTGAGAAGCACCCCTTTTCATGGACTCTATCCTGTGAGCTCTAACATGTGCCTGTTTCAAGCGTCGACAGGCCGGGATGAATGACTCAAGCTTGTTGCATCCTTTCAGGTTGAAGCCGACTTACAGTATATACATTAAAAACAAGGCTGAAAATATAAGGCTGGCTGGAATCAACGTCCAACATCCATCCACGGACTCCATGGACAACTCAGAAGTGTGACGAATAGGAAACACTGTAACTAGGAATGAAAAAAAAAACGTACCGGGTTTGCGCCTTCTTAGGTAAAGAAAACAAATACCAAACCTTCTTGGAGTCCTGTCGGATGGCATGGCGAAACGAAGAATTCACTGTCAAGTCTCGTCTCCGCACTCACTAGTTGAAGACTGCCCATTTCCCGCCCCAGTGCAAGACTTGATTGAAGACTTGATTTGATTTGATAGATAGCAAAAGAGAGGAAGAACAAGGAAACCCGGTTCAATTGTTTGGTATATATATTGTTTGGTTTAGTCTCTTTTTCGCCTGTTCAATCCGATGATTTCTCGCCCAAGTTTCAAGTCTCGGATCACCTCCGACAGCAAGGAGGACGACCTGTGTCGACAGGGGACGGCATATCGTGTGGGAAGTGGATGGAGACTGGGCCGAAATCACATGAGCAATGTGGCACAAAGATTGCGAAACCGGCGAAACCGTGTCATGGTGGGAAAATGGGCCAAGGACATCCTACCACTGCACTTGTTTCTCTCTTTTTCTTTGCTCAACAGTGGTCTTCAGTGCGGACGGTCACACCTCTCCAGCGCGTCAAAGAGAACTCGGCCTCGGTGCCGAGAGACGACCGTCGACTTGGACGATGGCCATCCATTTGATAGAGATTCATGATTAAATGACAAGAGAAAAGATCAGCATAGATTAGCTGTCTGTTAATGATTAGCTGATGAATTGACTTGCTGTCTGTTTTTGGTTCATCAGCTTGTCACATGGCTAAGCCAAACAATGAAAAGAGATACTCTTGCAGAGCGAGAGCCTCAACTCTCTGGACTTCCAAAGCATGAGGTTGCAAATTCCAAAATTAGAAAAAACACTCAAACCACTGGTCGAGGTGGGAAAGAACGTAACATGGAATGAGCTTCGGCCAGCTCGAGATATGCTAGAAAATAGCAAAAATTGCTATGTAGACATGCTGTATACATCTGCGTACAAGTATTCTATAAACTCAATCGAGCAACCAATTGAAACAAGTAGCTTTCCCACGGGACCCTAGAGTCTACATGAATGATCATGCTAAATGCTCATGTCATTGCTAACCTGCTAACCTCAAGAACAACAACACATACAGAATCATGGCATGATTGGCCGAAATGTTTCTCCACTTGCCACGACTCAGAAATGTAAGCAAAAAGTAAAAGGGTAAAGACCAAAGGACCCCATGCCCGGAACCAGCTGGAAGTGGATACGTTATGAAGCAGCCAAGAGCACCGGTACAGTCATGGGTGTGCTGCACGGTGAGGGATGGATGCTGGGAACGAAGAAAACCACCCAGGTCAATGGACATCCCGTACAATTCACTCAAAGGGATTCTCCATGTCACCTGGCCTTCCGGGAAAAAATCACTCACTCGATCTGAATTGCCCTTATCCAGTCAAGAAACACAACCAACTCAGGTCACCTATCAATCTCCCACCCTTCTCGACCTCTTCCACTCGGTGCGCCGTGTGACATAACTCCTGCACGTCATGTTGCTCCATGGCATCTCGGCCACTGAAGCCGCAGGCAGCGGTGAGCTCCTGCAGCTGTGAGCCATAGGCAGGCTAATAAACACCCAAGCTAATTGTGAAAAAAATATACCAGCATAGACCCCAAACAGCTTCAAAACCAGTCATTTAGACCAATATATCTAAAAACGATTTCTTGGTACCCTACCTTCACCCCAAGAGCAAACTGTTTCATCAATTTTTGTCGGCATTGACATCGCTATTTGTTCGGCCACACTCCTCTCCAGTAAACCGGGCCACAGAGACGAGCCACAGAGTTCAGGGGCGCGGCCAAGACAAGGACAAGAGGAGGACAAGACCCGGACACAGAGGCCAGCCACAGAGGAGGAGGACAAGAAGAGGACAAGGCCTGGACACAGAGCCCAGCCACACAGCCCAGCCACAGAGGACAAAGGAGGACCAAGCCCTGGACACAAAGCCCGGCCACAGAGGACACAGAACAGAGCCCAGGCAGAGAGGACAAGAGGAGGACAAGGCCTGGACACAGAGCCCAGCCACAGAGTTCAGGGGCGCGGCCAGTGAGTGTGGCCAGCTCTTTTTTTCTAAGATAGAACCCCAACAGTAAACTGTTTGGGGAAAAAACACATACTGATTTTCCTAAGGCCCATCGAACTAGGGTGTTAAGAAATACCCTTGAGATCCTTTGTTTCTCGCTGATCCAAGCACACCACCAATCCACGGAGCCCAAACCAGTCCGCTGGCTGCGCGGAATCCGACCCCACAAAATTCCACGCATCCCTTATCTACAAACCTCCAGTAGCCCCAAATGAGCAAAAATATCATCATCCCCACAGAAACACACATCAGCAACATAAGCTGGGGATTCTGCGCACCACAGAATAGCCCCTGGATGATCATTCTGCGCAGAATGTTGCTTTCTTCTCCCACCATCTCTGTGAAGGTCTGACAGTGCTGCAATCACAATCACGCAAAGGATGTTCTCTCAAACGAGCGTAGCACATCTGAAGAAAGTCTGACTGTCTGATCTTTTGAGAGGTTACAGTTTCTCCTCAAACAGTGCCGGCGCACCAGCCAGCATGTGAGGCACCTGAACATCCTTCCTTGTCCACGAGGCATTGGGAGTGAATGAAACCATGAACCAAGTGTGTCTTGTCAACTTGTTCCCTAGATAGCCTGCAAAGGAATGCATCACATCTCAGAGTTGTCTGGATTTACCCAACTTCCACCTCTCCCCGCATGATCTTCGAAGAAAACTCTTCGACCACGAACAGCCTGCCGTGAACCCACATCTTCCCCGCATCCCTCCTGTCCCTCGGAACCGCTCCTTGGTGGAACAGGCTGAGGCCTGTGAAAGTTGCAGCTCGGCAAACAGCCGTTGTAACTGCAAGGGAATGCCTCAGTCCATGAGCGGTCCAATCAGACCAACCTTTGACCGAATCAACTGGCCCATGAGGAGGGCCACAAGTTGAGAACATGTTCTATAGTGGTCCCCACATAGATAGAACAGTAGACTAGATCCCCACTAAGAATGTATCGGAACGCATTTCTATCTATTTGGGGGCCACTATAGTTGAGAAAAGGACCCGCTCAGTAAGAAACATGCCCGGTGGTAAAGAAAGAAAGTCGTGAGTGAAGTCACTGGTGCTGCCGAGGGGACAGCGACTTGGCTCTCCATGAAGCTCGGCGTCGTGCTCCTTGAAGTTGGGGCACCACCCGGGAGGACACACCAAGGCAAAGGACATCAAAGGACAAAGAAAGTTGGATGTGAACTTCTTTTGTCACAGTCGTGTAACGACAAACAACACCGAACCGCGACGTGAAGAAATAAAACTGTGAAGTTGGTAGCCTCTGGGTGCGTTGACTTGCTCCCAGTTGCCCAAGCACCGCGCCCGACGTAGGTCCGGTCCGCCTGCACCTGCCCCAACGGCGGCCCAGGCTCGAATTGATACACCGCCACGCGGAACTCCGGGATGTTGAACAAGGACTGCAGCAAGGAGTTCATGTAGCACGTGGCCTTGGGGTCGATGTCTCGCTTCGTTTTTTGCGGAAGTGGCAAGGTGGGACCATGGCAATGAGCTGGATCAAAACATGCCTATATAGCCTATAGATGCTGTTTGGAACTGGAGAACCTCTTAAAAATAGGTTGGGAACCTAGATAGGAGCTTTATTGAAAATCAATTTGCTGTATTGAAGTGATTAGGCTCGGTGCACTAGGTACTTTATCAAAACAGGGACAGCAATGTCTCCTATGGTCTCCCCACCTCTGTCTCTCAAGCGGCCTCTTTGCATCTTCCCCCTTGGGCTCCCCACTCCTTGATTTAGGAGCCCTACACCACCTGGACATGGTCAGCCCACATGGTCAGCCCACATGTGTCACTCTGCCTCTGGCGAAGTGGTCACTGTGCGGCACAAGCGTTGAGGATGAGTATCCCTACAACTCAGTGACCCTAACACTGATTAATTACCCAACTCAGTGTTGCGTATCCCTAACACTGGAACATGTTGCTACCGCAAACCAGCTCTCTCACCCATTCCGTTACGGTGCCATTCCGTCCGCCCGGCCAGCAACATGCGAGACAAACCGCATGTTTGTTGCTTTTGAACAACTCGCAGAAATATCACCCCCCCCAACCAAAAAGAGAATTTAAAAAGAAAAACACGTGGGGCCACGTGGGGGCGCCATGTTCCGGGGGAACTTCCGAGAGATCTGGTCCGGACCTTCACTCCTGGGCTGCAGTTTGGCCTGGGCAGGACGGATATGGACGGCCGAAGCGGTTCTCGGCCGAAACCGGTTCACGGGTGTTGATGCGCCCTGCCAAGCAACAGCAAACACTGTTTAGGTGCAAATGCTTTCCCCTTTTCCCATTCATGATAGAGAGTGGTAGCTTAGGTTCTGTAGGTACACTGTAGGCCTTCTGCTTCTCCCCTGTCCAAGCTCGGCACTACGACGCGTCGGACGCGCACCGAACCTGCCCACCCTTCAACATCTCCAGCAGCTCCTCCCGATGTGCCTGACATGAGTGAGATCTGGTCCCGTTGTAACTCACAAGCAAGTGACTGTCCCCTCATGTCCCCTCCGATTTTTTGGGAATCGTGCGGCACGTTCTACCTGCGAAAAACGAAACGAACAAACGATCTGTGTTCAGCAGTCTTTGAACTGGATACAGTATCTTTCATTCTTCATCCCCCTTTGCAAATGTTTGGCGCCTGGTAGAGGGCATCCTCTTCAGCCATCGGATCGCCAAGGTCCTGCACCAAGCTACAAGCCTTTTGCGTACACCCTCCACATGTGAGCGACTCAACATGAACTGAAGAACGTTCCTCTAGTTTGCTACTGAGCGTGGGAGAGGTCCGTGGCTTCTGTGTGGTACACGCATGTTACACGCACTATGAAAAAATATCAAGCCAGCTGAGGCTTGACTGTTGTCGTCTGCCCCGAAGGCCCAAATATCCAACTGTTCCACACCACAGTCCAAAAGTTCAAAAACCAAAGCCGCTGGGCGCCACTTGTGCCTGTCCTGCGAAGTGCCTGACCTGGTGCCTGACAGGTCGAGAGATGGCATGTAGGCTGACAGGTCGAAAAGGCACCTTAGCATGTAAAAAAATGGCACTGTAGCATATTCACACGGTTTTTCAGGTTGAGAACCCTTGACCTACGGTCTTGACCGTAGCAATCATTGAAATGACTTGCCACAACTCCGGACGTCTGCTCCCCATGCACCACCAACAGTGGTGGTTTTGACCATGTTTCGGGAACAAGGGGTTCGAAGGACCAGCAATGGCTGTCACTACTTGGCTAACTATCTAAGTGTGTGTGTGTATTATAAACATATACTGTATATAGCGTGTGTAGCAGACCACTGTCTGCCAAAGCATGTGTTGCCGTTCGTCATTTCAAGAATCAACACTGAAGTCACTGAAGAACATCGTTTGCGGCTGTGCATCCTTTGACACTCGCACAGCGGGATGAAGTTCATTGGCTCCGGAACCGCGCCCTAACTGTGGGCGGTCTTGCTTTCTCAAAGCTCGTGTCTAGGCAAGAACTGGAGCACGTTTTCACCAACAATTGGGTGCGATTCCTGATCATTAGACGCAAGGTATCGCAAGGTCCTCCGCTTCTCAAGACCAGGTTGATCCAAGTTACTATATCACAAGGGCCTCATGACGAATCACTGGTGTTGATGTTTTGCCTAACTTCTTCACGCATCCTATGTGTGTCAGTGCGAAACACATCCATGCCGTTCATACACGTCACCGTCGGGCTCCAGGCTGCTCGTTGTTCAAGCGAGTCTGGTCGCCCCACTCGGAATCTCACAAGTGCTGGTCTTGGAGGGGGGCTTGACACCGTGCTGTTGAGCTGTTGGTGATTGAGTTGCTGATTTATTATTGGTTGGTTGATAGGTTGATTGGTTGGTTGATTGATAAGCTCGCAATGCTTGGTTGATTGATTGAATGCTTGGTTGATTGGTTGCTTGGATTGGTTGCTTGGTTGGTTGCTTGGATGGTTGGTTGCTTGGTTCGGTGGGTGAAGCCCTTGGCCTCAGCAAGGTGAAGGCCTTGGTCCGTGGCCGTGTGTTTGCACAGCTTACTCTAGAAACCACATCTCACCGTCACTCCATTGTATCCTCGTCGGGTCGTAGTGAACCTCTCCCTCGTGGATCTGTCCTGAAGGCGACAGGCGACATTGGGCGACATTGGGCGACATGAGGATCATGAGGTTCCTGGTTCCAGGCGGAGTCATAGGTTCCTATCCGGCGATCAGTAGCTTAGGAGAAGGATCCACTGTCGAGAATCGAACCCGTCCCGCAAAAAAGAATAGCTGAACGAGCTTCACCTGTTCTGTCTGTCAAGTGGGAAAAACCAATCCCACAAAAATGAGTTTTAAGGTTACAGTAGGATGCATGACAGGTGATTGGACAGCTTCAAGCTTTAAGCATCTTTAAGTTATTTTCTAAACGGGCTAGCACGACCACCAAGCAACATGCCAAACATCTGCATAACATAATGTGACATAAACCAACGTTGAGGCGACACAGGAATTGGAACAAAGCATACGATAAAAGCAACAACAACAATAACATGGTACCACTCAGAGATTTTCTTAAGGCTATATATATATACACTTACCTAGTACCTTTGCAGCTGACAGCGACGGCTATTTCACGGGCAAACATCAGTCCAATCAACCACGCCAAGCACAATTCGTAAATAACACGTTTCTGATGTTCAACACCTGCAAGATTGCAAGGAACGAGATCAAACACGAATAATGTAGATTATTGATTAATAAACTACCCCTTTGAAGAGGATATTCCACTTCAAATGGGGGGTTTATTAATCAAGAGTCTACATTAGGTATTCCAGAATGGATCTCACCCTGGCTGGCTGGAAGTCAAGGCCACAAACTCCCAGCGCTGGTAGCCCCAGCCGAATCTGTCCTGTGCGCTTCATTTTGAGACGCACTTTGGAGAGGCCCGCTTCTTCAAGGCAGCTTTCCCAATCTTGAAACGCCTCAGGTCTTTGAGGACGGTATCTGGGTATCTGGGTTGAAGAGGCTGCAAGCTGACGGCCTTTTGTTGCTAAAATGTTTGGTACCTTCCAAAGGGTCCAATGGTCACCCACTGCGAAGGTGAGGAGCATGGTGAAACCCGGAGGGGCACTCCCTTCTTCTCAGGGTCATGGACATGATGACCCTCATGGAGAGGGAAAAGCGAAGCACTTTTCAATCTTTCCAATATTAACTGGAAATCGGAAATCGTCTGGCCCGATCTTCAAATTAAACCTGTTACCAATAACATTCCAAAACGCACAAAACCAATGAGACTCCCCCCCCAGGAAATACAGCGCGCTACAGTCTTGGGCTCGTGAATGCACATTTCAAGCTCTTGGGCACCAAGGGTCACAAGCGAAACCATGTGTACATACATACATACATACATACATTACATTACATTACATTACATTACATTACATTACATTACATACATACACAAATACACAAATACATACATACATACAGACATACATACATGCATACATGCATACATACATACATACATACATACACATACATACATACATACATACATACATAGCATACATACATAGCATACATACATACATACATACATACATACATAACATAACATAACATAACATAACATAACATAACATAACATACATAACATACATAACATACATACATACATACATACATACATACATGGCTCAAGCCATTTGAGGTCTCAACCTGGTCCCATACAAAGTCCAGGCACAGGACACAAGCCATTGGAGCCAAGCCCCGTCTTCCAAGAGGGCACTGGACTCCTTTGCCCGTGATCCTCGACTCCCACATCGACATTTCTGTTGAGACCTTTGGCACCTGGCAAGTTCTGGCCCTGCAAAAGGCCTTCGACACCTTGAGGTACGAGCACAGCCTTAGGGACATTGTGCACTACCACTTTGCCCGTGATCCCTACATCCCTGAAGACGCCTTTGGCCAGAACGAGATCGGGGCAGTGATCATGGACTGGTGCAGGGCCTACAACCCTTGCAGCAAAGCCACATGCAATAACTGGATTTGGCAGGACAAGATGTACCCTGGCACCAGGTGTCGCCGCTGTGGCACTATGTGGACGACAGCAAGCACTACCACCGGAAAGGGCAAGGGCTATGGCAAGCCTGCTGGCAAGCTCACTAAAGCACCAAGATCCTGGCCAGAAGCTCCTCCAGGTTTGCCAATGGTCAAGCCACTCAAGAAATCTAAGGTTCAACAGGAGGCCACCGACCTTTTGGCATCAACTTGGACCACTTTGACTGAGGACACTCAGCACCGCTTGCAGGCCATCGGCATCAGAGCTCAAAGACGTACTCAAGTCACACATGGAGGCCCTTCCTCAACAAGTTCAAGACCTGGTCAATAAATTGACCACCCCTGAGCCCTGCACTGAACGTGAGATTGCAGCCAAACTCAAGGGTCGTGTGACGGAGCTCAAGAATCTCTCCATGAGAAAGACTCAACTCCAGGCCAAGATCGACAATGTCAAAGCTCAATATGCAGCTCTGTTGACTGACATGCAGGAGCTACAGGGCAAGCTCACCGAGGGACAGCAGTCGCTCAAGACACTTTCGGATGACTACATGAAGGCGGTCAATCAGACCCCAACTCCTTCTGAATTGCCGACGGCCCATGGAGAAGCTGAACAGATTCCCATGGCGGTTGAATCCTTTGTCCATAGCTTGGGCATTTCTTTGACTGACGAGCAGAAAACTCAGCTGCATGGTCTCCTCAAGCGACCCAGCAATGAGCAGGAGGACCCCACCAAGCGGCGAAAAACCGACACGCCAACTCTTGGGAAATCTGGACAGTGTGGGTAACATGAGCTCACTCATGTTTCAGGGGTGGACTTTCCCGGTTCCGGAAGATGACCTCATGTCATGTGAAGGCCACGAAAGTCCGAGTTTGACACCATCAAGTGATGCATTAAATTTTGTTGCGGATCGGCCATTGACAGTGCAATCACCAACAACACCGGTTTGCCGTGCTGTCACAGGCTCAGAGACGCTTATGGGATTTTCAGCTTTGGGTGCAGGGGCAAATGCACTACCACAAGCTGATCAATACAAAGGGCAGAGCTTTTCTACCTTGAGCAATGAAGATTCCACTCTTGGTAGACCAGAGCAACAAACCAGTTTTGAGCAACACCGACAGACAAACATTTCTCAGAGCACTCTCACTCCTCGGGCGCCTGATGGATTGACTTATCTCTCCATTTTGGGAGGAGCACCTACTGGCACCTGGACAACACAGAGTCAGACTACGGCGGCATCTAGCATGCAGAACTATGCCACATCCACCGATTGCATCCTCCAGAACCTCACCATGGTGGTTGGCAATCCAAGCCTCAGGTGTTTTGCGAATGCACCTTGGCGAGCTTTCACTTGGGTGTGCGCCCTGCTCCAAGAAACTAGCACCCAGCCATGGGGCACCATCCAGGAGGCCGTCCAAGAGTCCCTCGACACAGCGGAGCCAGTGGATCTGCAGGCCTTGCCAGGCTTGAGAGACCTGTGGAAGCAGCATGATCTGAACACTCAAGGAGATGCAAATCATTTTGTCAATTCTTTGTGGCTGCAGAGCATTTCACTATCGCTTTGCAGAAATCCGTGAAGGAGGATACCTCACAGATCATGTGCAGCAGCCCATCTTGGTTCCCTTTCCGGATGACTGGCCTGACAATGTCACCTTCCAACAATTGGTGAACAATTGGGCCAATCAGGGCATGGGGCCATACTTGCTGGACGACAAGAAGATCTTGGTATGCCATGTCACCAGGAATACCTGCATTGATGGTGAAATGACGAAGCATCAAAAACCCTTCAATCCATATGGCACCTTCACTGTGCCACGGTCTTTGGATGGTTTCTCATGCACATCCACAGAATTTGTCCCGGCAGTCCTGATCTGCCACAAGGGACGGACTCATCAAGAAGGCCACTACTTTGCTATCTTGATCTACCGGGACCTCATGTGGATCGCTGATGATGGCAAGGTTCCACAGCACCTGCCACACTTGACACCGGCCCTGGCCAGTCAGATCACCCAAGTCTGGGCAGTCAACATAGATTGCTTCAAGACTCCACAACAAGTCCTGCAAGGGCTCCCGCCAGCCGACGAGCCGGATTATGATCCTCCGGTGCACCCCAGTCCAGTGAAACGGGCCAGATATGCACAGGATCACAACTCCCTGTACTATGCCAATGTCACAAATCTGGGCAAACAAGTCATTGACTGGTACTGGACCCGTGACAGTGGCATCTACATCCTTGTAGAGACCCACTTGGACCCTCAAAAACATTGGGAGCTCAGCCAGTATTTCAGCATCCGTGGCCGTACAGTCTTTGGCACACCTGCTGAACTGAACCAGGAACAAACAGGCAATCATGGAGGCATCCTGGTTGTTGCTGATCCAGCCTGTGGCCTCACACAGTTCCAGTCTTACACCAACAAAGGCTGTGGCTTTCAAAGCTTTCTCTGGCAAGCCACAGAAACCACCATTTTGGTAGTTGGCCTTTACTTGCGGACCGGGGAGACCTTTCAAAGCGACATCAACTCGGACATACTGGCCCAGCTTCTGTCACTGCTGTCCCAAACAACACATCCTTATGTGCTCATTGGAGATTGGCAGAATCATCCTAGTGCCTTAGCCAGTACAGTCTTGTCCTCCAAATTTCACTTCGGCATTTTGGCACCAGATCACAGTGTACGGCAACACCATCGACTATGCGGTTCTCCACAACTCTCTGGCAGGAACCACCTCGATCCAAGCACACTGGGCAGTTCCTTGGCGACCACATGCACTGCTCCAATTGACCTTTGACATTGAAGCTGCTACCATGGAGTACCGCCAGATGCCATACTTTCCGCCCATGCCCAAGGTGCCTGACATTGATTTTCGACCGTGGACCACTTACCAATCCCAGGCCAACAGCCTTGAATTGTATGGCATTCCTCCCAATGAAGCGGCTCAGGCATGGGCAGATTGGTTGTCCAAAACCGAGCAATACCTCCTCCAGGAGAACCCGTGGGCTGCTCAAGGCCGTGGACATCATTTGCAGGCAGTCACAAAGCCATTGATGCTCCAGCCCAAAGGGCACACCTGGCGCAAGGGCCGCCCAGCGTTTTGGGATCAGATCAAGGCTGTCTTCCACCTGGCCTTACAAATGCCCCCTGATGTTCAATCTGGCCCAATCCGGGGTTTTCATCAGCGACTGCTGCAAGTGCCACAACAATGGATTGGTGCACCTACATGGAGCCAGTTCCTGGACACTTGCCATCACTGGATCAGATTCAGAGATCCACATGCAGCCGAGTTGATCCTGCAAACCATGACACATCAACTTCAGGAAGCACAACAGCATGCACAGGAAGAAAGCACCCTGCAGTACCGCCAATGGCTGCAGGAGGGGCACCAAAAAGGCCTTAGAGGGCTCTTTCGCAGTTTGAAGAGCAGCGAATTAGCATGGGAACGGCCGTATCGCATGACACCCATGCCACAAAGAATGAACCAGAGGCTTGCTGACTGGGGTGGGCTATGGAAGATTCGTCAGGACAACGACCCAGCACCGAGACCCGACCTCAAGCTCCCGGCTCAAAGGCAAGCCCAGACACTGGAACCCATCACACCAGGCCAACTCCAAAGAGCCCTCAAGGCCATGCCAGAGCGGGCCAGTGGACCGGATGCAGTTTCCGTTCAAATGCTCAAGGCAACACCTCCACTGGCTCTGACACCCTTGCTGCAGCTGCTGCATCAGATGGAGAGGAGGGCTGAACTACCAACCCAGTTGCAAATGCATCTAGTGGTCATGCTGCCCAAGAACCAAAAGCTCGAGCGGCCTATCACTCTCACATCCACGCTGTGGCGACTGTGGTGCAGGCTCAGGAAACCACTGCTGGACCAATGGCAGAGGCTGCTACCTGAGACCATGAGTCATGACAAGGCACGACCAGGGGCCAATGTCCTCCATGTGGCATTGGCAAGACTCCTCCGACAAGAGGTCACGAAGGCCAGACAGAAGCATGGCATCACTGTCCTCATGGACATGTCCACCTTTTATGACACCATCAACCTCTGCCGCCTGCAGGAAGAGGCCGTTGGCTTGGACTATCCACCACTCATGTTGGAATTGGCCATGCAGCTTTACTGCGGACCAAAAGCCATCCTTGCTGAGCAAGAGCTGACTCCCTTTTTCCATGTGGACCATGGTGTACCAGCGGGTTGTCCTCAAGCACCACTACTGGCAAAAGCAGTGCTGGCACCAGCCCTCATCCCATGGAAAGAAAACCGTCCCACAGCACACCTGTCCTGGGTTGACGATGTCGGCTTTGATCTTGAAGCAAGCACGGCCCTCCAAGTGGCACAACAAGCTGTTGCAGCTTATCGTGACCTCCACAACAGACTCACGGCCCTTGGACTTAAGGTCAATCCCAAGAAAACGGCCTTCATTGCCACAGACCGAACAACGGAGCAAGCCCTCAAAGGACTCCTGACAGACAATGAACCACCTGTCTCCTCTGTCATGCGGGACTTGGGAATTGACCATCAAGCTGCCAGACGAAGACGCATTCCAGTCATGAGACAACGCTTCCAGAAAGCCAAGCAGAGAAGAGTCAAGCTGAGAACACTCAAGATTCCTGCCCTCAAGGTTCGCCTGCGCCTCCATAGAGGGGGCATCCAACCAGTGGCTTTGTGGGGTGTAGAATCCCAAGGCTTGGCACCCAGATACCGCATCGCCCTTCGACAAGCATTGGCCACTCATCTCGGTCATCACGCAGGAGGTTTGCTCGACATCACCTATGACCTCCACAGCCGCAGATACCTTGATCCGGCTGATCAGGTCATCCTGCATCACATCAAGGCCATGCACACACTCTACCACACATGGCCTACGGAACAGCTACCACACCTCCAGCAAGCCTGGGCTGCTTTGCACGCACAACTCCAGGCCAAGCAGCATCCCTGGTATGTGGTCAAAGGCCCAATGGCAGCCACCCTCGCTTATCTCCTGGAATGGCAATGGCAGGCTCAAGATCTACAGAGATGGCACAGAACCGGGCATCCACTACTTTTGGATCAAGAGCTCACGCTACAAGATCCGTGGTGGAAGCTTGAAAGAGCTTTGGAGCGGGAGGCCAAAGCACAGCGCATCTCCAGACTGGCAGGTCGACCACATCATCAACATTTGGTGACAGGCCTTGATTGGCATGTCTACGGACAGGTGCTGAAAACCATCCCAGGGGAGCACAAACCACACTTGCGAACCTGGACACAAGCTGCACTTCACTACAAAGAAGGTGGCCAAGTCAAAGAGTGCCCTATTTGCAAGGTTCCAGCAACAGTGAAGCACATTTTGTGGCTATGCAAATGGCACCACACGCAAAAGCATCACCCTATGCCAGCAGAGTGGGCTGAACGCATTTTGTCGGACGATGAGACACCTTTGTGGACTGCAGGCTGGATTCCTTTAGAACCACAAGAAGCCAGAGACATGCCACAACCCTATCAGGGACATGGAGCCTGGCAAGGCCTTCCACAACTGGCTCCACAACCCCATCAAGGGTGGGCTTTTACGTTAGATGTCACACCATCCAGCTACGACCAACGTGATCAGCTTTGGATCTTTGGTCTGTGCGCACACACCATGACATTGGGGCAGCTGCAACGAATGGCGGCCATAACTGGCGCACCACCAGCCCAGGGCACTCATGGAAGGGCTTGTGGCACTGGCAAAACACACCACCACCCAGGTGCGAGTCATCGTCCAGCTCATCAGTGTGTGGGAGGCATGGACTCAAGAACGGCATCGAGGCCCCTTTCTTGACCAGCTCGAGCAACTCACTGAGCAAGATTACAACAGAGTCACTGTGCTCTATGTGCCTCGGCACACCAAATCCCCACAGGCACCTGGCAGTGAACCTCAACTCCGCAGGAGACAAAGGGATGCAGCGTTGACGGCTTGGGAAAGGGCAAAAACCTTCCAGAACAGCAGGAGCACAGACTGGCAGAAAGTCCTTGATGAGGATCACAAGCTCATCTACCAACGTGCCATAAACCGCCTTGCACTGATCTACAGCGCAAAGGACCACTACATCCATCAGAAAGGCAATCGGCACCAAGCCAAGAACACCAAGCAATACAAAAAGCAGCTCATCAGCCAATGCAGGCAACCATGGCAGTCTCCGCAACACAGATGGCTCCCGCACAGGAGTGGCTATCAGTGTGCCTCCTGCGGCCTCCGAGTGCACCAGGGCCTCACGGTGCAGGTGATAGAAGAACATCTCCAAGCTGCATGCTCCCAGACCAGCCTTGAAGCCAGGTCAACAGCACCAGCCCAGGATCACCAACCAATGGCCAAAAAGCAGACCCGACAGCAAGTCATCAAGCAGATCCTGCAAAAACAGACCGAGCAGGGACCAGGCCCGCAGCAGCATCAGCTAGAAGAGACCACTGGTTACCTGCGATGCAGCAAGTGTGGAGCAAACATCCACAAAAGAAGCAATGAACAGATCTTCCAAGACTTCGTCAAGGGACAATGCCTGGACCAGCCCTATGAGGCGTCACATGAAGGACACAGCACTCATGTGCTTTGGCAAAAGGGCAACCGAGTCAATTGCACGCAGTGCGGGCTGAGTCTTCACCTTGATACTCAACAAAGGCTCATCCTCACCACGGCCTTCAAAAAGCCCTGCAAAGGGGCGGGAGCTGCTGGCTCACCACCCCTTGAAGAGTACTTCCGCAAGCAAGCCACACAGGCACCAAGCTCCAGCCCTGACACCTCAAGTGAACAGGGTACATGCAGCCAGCATCAGCCAACACCATCTGACAGGCAATATGCCACAAGACTCTCACTGCAAGACACGGCTGCAGTGACACCTCAAGATTCAAGACCAACGCCTCGCAGGCTGCATTTCACCACGCAGCTGGATCAGAGAGATCAAGGAACACTGGCAATCCAGCCAGCACCGGCCATGACACCCAGCCTACCAGTTCCTTGGCATAGCTCAACACACCAGCACATGCCCAACCAGGGCGGCAGCGGTGACGAGGACGAGGAGACCAACTCCTTCACGGTAGACTTCTTTTGAAGGGCCGCACTGAGGCACACGTCCTAGAGGACCAGCCACAAGAGCACCAGCACAACACTCTAGAAGAAAAAAACATACATACATACATACATACATACATACATACATACATACATACATACATACATACATACATACATACATACAT